TGGTTGCATCTGCTCCATTGAGAACGATTCTAAGCTATAACATCGGTTGTTTCCATCCCGAGGGCCCCAAACAGGGAGTATACACCTTCATACGTGGCTGGCTTAAACTAACTATTTTGGATTTCATTGACTGGTGCCATGTTTCGGTTTGACTACCGCTAGCTCTTTTCCAGCCTGACTCTATGTCAGCTAAGATTGCCCGTCGAGGAAGGCGATGACTAGGCATGCATGAGTAACACATCTCCTAATTACCTCAATCTATGTAACTGCTTCACAACCTCGTCGACTGATACCCCCTCCTTACCTAGCACTCGACGTATCCCTAACCTCAATATTGCTAGCCCAATTATGACACCTAAAACAGGAGATAAAACCCAGGGATCTATGGATAAAGAAAGCTATCCTTTTCATGTCTTCCACTGTTAACGGTCACGTCTCACAGCCATAAAGCAGGAAGAAGCGGACTGATGAGCAGTACACACGCCCTTTGGTCGATAGTCGGATATCACGTCTACACCAGAGGTAGCGTAAACTGGAATATGCGAAACTAGCCTTCTGTATCAGTGCTGAGATTTCGTCAGAGATCAACCCGTTGGCACTGGCTGATGCAGGTTCCCGAATAAGTCAAGCGGTTGACACGTCCTACCACTTCACTCCATATTTCGAAGCTAGGAGTCAATGTAGTCCAGCCCAGTCCTGTAGTGTCATCTTACATCTGGCGGGAGTGAATCGCATGCCAAACATTCGTAGATTGCAACTCAAGGAGTTCAGAAGATTCTTCATTTTGCCAGCATCTTCACCTAGAAGGCAGGAGTATATCATCTGCATATTCGAAGTAAACAAGATTATTCCCTCCCATGAGTCAGTGAATTTACTTAAGGTTAAGTCCGTTAGTACATCTATGATGAAATGGAATAGAAATGGGGATAGTGGACATCCCTGTCGGACACCACGAGTTGTGACCATTTCAGATGGCAACTCGCCGTAAGCCCTCACCTGGCTGATGGCATGAGTACGAGTAGAATGACTTAATCAGTGCAATGTATTTTCTCGCCATTTCCTTTACAGCCAAGCATCTCCAGAGAACTTCTCGATCGACAGAGTCGAATGCTGCCTTTAGGTCAAGAAATATAATGATTGTTGGACGCCGGTAGGAATGCCTATGTTCTAGAATCTGTCGGAGGGTGAAGATATGATCAATACACCCTCTTCCTGGTCTAAAGCCTGCCTGGCTCTCTCGTGTTTGTGCCTCCCGAGCACCACTCAGTCTACGCATGATTATTGAGCCTAAGACTTTAGATACTATATTAGTCAAGCTAATCCCTCTGTGATTATCACAGGAAGACTTGTCTCCCTTCTTGTATATGGGGATAATCAGTGACTTACGCCAACCCGATGGGACTTCCTCTGATTCCCAGACGCTGCTTAGAACCTCAGTTAATGCAGACAGTAAACTATCTTCACAGTACTTAAATACCTCTGGAGTCATTCTACCAGGTCCTGTTGCGTTGCTTCGTTTTAGATTAGTGACAGCCTTAGTAACCTCAGTTAGGGAAGGAGGACTTGTGTCTATATCCCATTCAAGGACGTGTTGGATGTTCGGTAAGTTGAGTGTGGCCATAGGCCAATTAAACTGTTCGTCAGAGTGTTCTTTCTAACGTCCTACTCGTCTATCCTGGGAGCTAATTATGGTGCCATTTTTCCCAGGGATTGTTTCACTTATCATTTCCCTTCACCTCATTTAATATCACAAACATCTTACGTAATAAATCCTTGATATAATGAGAAAGTATTTAGAGAAGAACATTTCTCCAGTTATATTCTGTTTTTATGTACCATACTCAAACGTGAAGTCCGAAATTCTTGTAGTATGTAAATAGGCATTGCCAGAAGTCATCAACTAGAAATGCTCTTTCATAATTGGTCTTCGTTGCAGCTAGATGACGCAAAAGGTTATTATTATTGTTTATTATAGTAAAGCGGTTAGGACGCTCGCCGACCATGCATAAGGTCCGGGGTTCGATCCCCGGCCGGCGCACTCCTTTACCTCACTGAGCCAGAAATAAAAAGCTGGTAAAGAGGGAAGGTTGGGCATGAGGCTAGCAACCCCCATCCTGTAAAAATTAAACACTGCTACAGAAACTTCAAGCCACTGGGAACGTGAAGGAAAATTATTATTTTTCAAAACATTTGTAAATACTAGTCAAAAAAGTTCTTAAGCTGTCTATGTGTGAAAATGTTTTTGTTTGGCTGGCCGTATTTGACACAGATTGGATTCTATGTCTCGTGGCTTGTATAAGGGGTAGAAAATATGTTGCAAAGAAAATGAGGCTAAGTGCAGTGTTAGGTAAGCAAAGAAAATCAATCGATAATGCTGGGAAGCTGCAAAAATGTAGATAACCGAGACATATGCTTTGCATGCACAGTCATCATCGCCTATCTGGTTCACAGCTGTGTTAACTAACATATTGCAGAGGGATGAGAAGATACAGTGGTGACATCAGTTCATGATGCCTTTGAGTGTTGGTTTGAGCCAGACACAGTAAGAAGCACTGGTCTGAGTTGGTTTGTGATATGGCTCTAAACAGTTCTCAATGGCGTAGACACATTCGTTGTCTTTGATCTCCTAGATTCATATAACTGTCTATACTATAAATATACTTCGTCGAGTAAATTTTCCTTTACTATAACTGTTTTTTTCATTGCTTTTTAACGGCTTTTGTGAGTTTTTATGACGTATGACAACTTGAATCGCTATACTCCTGAGTACAAGTATACGTAGAAAACTCAGTTCAGTTAATCGTTTGGTTGTAACTTAAACAAATATATGAAAATAAACATGATTCACACACAATTAGGAAAAAAGTTACTAAACCTCAGTCAGTTTACAAGTCCGATGAATTTAAGATACCACTCAACTATAAGATCATAAAAGCACTCTAGAAAATTTAAATAACTGTGACCACCAATTAGATTTATTTCATCGCTAACTGAACAAAACAGCTGACTGAAGAAAAAAAGCCTGTGAATGAACTCTTAAATATTGACAGAAAATACTGTAATTTCCCAGGAATTCAACTTAGAACTATCATCTGTAGATAAAATATACTTGTTCAAACTGTTTGGAACTCCCCTATTTACCACTAGAAATTCTTTTCATGCTTGCGTGTTCCTCTTTGTTTCATCTAAATTAGATATTTTTTCAAACAAATTAGACAGTTCACTGTCTGATTATAATTTTAATATAAATGAAATTCGAATGATATCCTTTCACAAAAAGTGGAAGGATAAATATAGACAACATCTGGTGCTTTATATTTGGAACAGTAAACATGCAAGCCAACAGAGGAGAGCTGCAAAACCCTGATTTTTGTACTTATGGCATAAATGGACTCCAGAATCCGAAAAGTTAGAATGGCATATGAACCTGATTTGGTCAATGAAAACCATACGAATGTATCCCATGACAACCGCGCTCCAATGCTTTGTAGATCAGACTTCAAGTCAAAGGATTGAGGGGTGACGCCTTATTCATGACAACCATCTACTTTGGTTGGAGCGTCCGAACAGTATCTTATCCCACAAAAAAAACTATGAGATTTGGTATGACCCATCTCTTGGTGCTCATAATGTACCAATAACAATGAAAATGAAACTTCATGTCACAAAGATCAATATGCAACGACGACAGAATACAGGCAACTTTCACTCATAATACACAGATAACATACCTTCCGATATGCCTTTGGCTATTACGTCCGTAATTATTATTATTATATCCCTTCATTCCTAGAGGAACATAGGGCTTCAGCTGCGCGTCTCCATTGCCTTCGGTTTTCTGCCAACTTTTTCACTCCACTCCAAGTCTGCCCACATGCTTTCATCTCCTCTTCACATGACCTCCTCCAAGTCACCCTTGCACTGACGACCAACTCGCCACTTCCCTTTCGGCTTCCACTCGAGCGATGGCTTGTCTAGTGATGTCACTTGATGGTTTGTTGTCTCAGAGTATGGCCAGCCAATCCATCTCCATTTCTTCCTGCCTATTTGTTTCACAATCGGTTCCTGTTGTGTTGGTTCGCTCATTGCGAGAGATCCCTGTTGCTGATCTTTTCTGGCCGGCCGGCCGGCCATCTGATCTTGAGTATTGAGCGAAAACAACTGTTAATGAAGGTTTGAAGTTTGTTTGAGATGCTCTTTATGACGTGCAGTGCAAGTCTCTGATCCGTATAGTAGCAGTGACTGACTTCACATTGGAGTTGAAAATCCGGATCTTATTTTTGATGGTGAGTGCTGTTGACCTCCACACACACTTAAGAGTAATGAAAGCTTGTCTTACTCTACCGACTCTTGTTTTGATATTCTCGTCAGCTCCATCCGCCTGTAGTTGAAACGATGCTTCCCAGGTCGGTGGGTGAAGGAGGTTGTTTCTTTCAGGTTCCTCTCATTTATGCTGGCTGATTGTTGTTGTTGCTGTCGGTGTTGGCCAGGAATCTTCATCACCTCTGTTTTATCTATGTTCACCTGAAGTCATATCTTTGATGCTTCTTCTACCGCCAGCTTGTTGCTTTTCACTTGCATATCTTCCAGTTTGTGGGAAATCAGACGTGTATCATCATCGGTGAAGTCCAGATCCTCCAAGTTTTTTGAGTGAGTCCAACTGTTGAATGAAATGTATAATTGTTGATGGCACCCCATAGTAGCGAAGTAGTTGCCAAATGTTACAAAAACGTCTTCAAGAGAAGAGTTACTAAATGAACTATCTTTTAAAAGTTGCTTTTCTTTACCTAAGTTCTGAGGGTAACAGACGGCTTCAAGCCTTTCGAAGTGGTACCATTTTTCCCACGAAGTGTAGCTGCTAGTCTTTCACCTAAATATCCCTCTTTCCAGGCTTGAGAAATGTGTCCACCGGGAGTCGAACCCAAATCCTCCGCATAGCCAACAAACATCCTACAAGTTAATTATCATGATCGCAATACAAATCACACATAAGTACAATATCAAGGACATGTTCATATAACTTTTATTCACTTAGCAACATGATTATGCATATATATACTCAGTAAGAGGTTATGCAGACATTACACTTATTCAGATGATGAGTGAATCTATGAAAATAATACAATAAATATCAGTAAATGATTTAGTTTTCGTCATATTACAACAGAAATGTAACAGAGACAGCAAAAAAACACTCACTATCATCAAGTATAATATAAAACGCTTTACGATTTAAATTTTCTCGAAATATAAAATAAATCAACGAAAAAAAATACCGCCAAACGCATAGTTGACACTGACAACACGCGTATTTAAAACAAATTAACTGTAAAGACATCAAAATGAAAAAAAATGCAAATGAGGCGAAAGACAGAAATAAAAAGTAGTAAGTTGACTACATAGCAGCAAATGTCGATTATGTGAGAATTGAAATATTTTATAAAATTGAATATTGCATGAGAAATAAACAAACAAATTAAATGTCAGTGTGGAGTACTTCAAATTGTGATGACCGACTAAAGAAGATATTTTAAAAAAACAACCAAGAAATACACTTAAAAATATAAAATAACAAATATTACTAAAAGAAGCGTGAACAACAAAAGAGCAACGTGTAGCAGAGACAGCAGCGTACATGAGATTGTCTGTCAGCGGAATCGAAATATTTCTGAAAGTAAAAAATCAGTGAGAAAAAAGAAAAGCAAACAGATTTTCACCAATATGCAACCTAATTTTTACTATGATGCTGTTTTCAATCCTACAAAATACAAAATCCAACAAATTTAAATATGCCAGACGAAAGAAAAACACAGTGAATTTAAACAAAAAACAGTCAATCATTGAACACATTGAACATATCACTCACTGTCTAATAAAAAGATTGAAGAAAGACAAAAAAAGGTGTGTGTGTATATAAATGTATCACAATTTGATGTGAAATTTTCAAAAACTTTCCTCCGAAAGGATAAATGTAAAAGACACACACACAGAGATCACATCAGATTTTTGGTTGGAATGCATGATAGAGACAGACTAAAGAGACTTAGTGTCAATGAAAGATATACTCTGAAAAAATGAAGATTACAATTTATTCATTAAAAGAAAGCAGAACAACAGCAACAACACTGACGAAAACACAACAGAAAGTAATAAATAAATAAATAAATACAAAACAGAACAAAAGAATATAATATGATCAGACCAGGAATATTTATATATGCTTTTATTTCAATTGCGTTGAACATTGAACATATGAGTTGCCGTTATTTTTCAAACAAGTTGAACCTCTTCAAGTACATCATCATCGTCGTCACGATTGGATGATGACATGGATTTCGGGATGTATTTACGATTTTTATTATGGATACGATTTGAAATACGTTTATTAAATAGTTTTGTTTTAACTAATGACTTCATTGTTCCTAATTTTGTTTCACGTAGGTTTGAATCATGCAATACTATTACATTGCCATTGTCACTTTCAGCATCAACGCCATCATCCTCATCATCATTATAATCATCACCATCGTTTCCGTCTTCATCTGTGCCATTATGTGTTAACATTGATTCCAGACAGTCATTATTTGATGATCCGTTGTTATTATTATCAATATCATTACCATACGACGTATGCATATCATCCATAGCTAATAGTGAATATGGTCCACGCTTTGTTTGATGACTTGATGATGCTGATAATGGTGAAGATTTATCCGACCTACCAACTGAACGTCTTACAATTGCATATGGTACACGTGAATGACAACAGAAATGATAGCATACACAGATAGTTAAAGTTAATGAAAATATTGCAACAATTGATGCTGTAAAGAAAAAAAACAAAGAGAGAGAAAAAGGATACGCATTAATAGGCAACATTGTTAAACAAAGATAAGTGAAAAGAAAATTGCTTGAAGGAGATACCCATGATAGCAGGATGCATACCTCTCACCTCGTGGAGTAACATGATCAGAATGGGTAAATAATGGAATGATGCTAGACAGTCGAGTACAACCTAAATCATCTCTGGAGTGGACATGCATATTGCCCCCATAGATTTGCTCCAACCTTCCTCTATGGTTGGTTTTGAGACATGGCTACTGGAAGTAGACCACAAGAAACAGTTAGCTATCTATGATCATAGGACATTTGTATTCTACTAACTCACATGTTAACCGGTATAATATGGTGATAAATACTCAGATTAGGCGCATTTAATGTCAGATAAAAAGGGATGGCATCACGATGGAGTTGTGTAGCTACTTCGATTAACGCATGAGAACCAAAACTTGGGATCAGTCCATGAAGCCTTTGAAAGTTAGTTTCAGTTAGCCATGTAGGTGGGTGTAGACCGTTTGGTTAGCGTCCTCGAGATTGTAAGAACCAATGGGTGGAGACAATTTGTGATATGGCTCAAAATCGTTCACAATGGCGAAGATGCATTCACTCTTTGCAATATGTCATATCCATTGTTTTTCCTTCACATTTTGACATATTGGCGTTCCTCCGAATTTTTTTTCTTCTCTCTTATGTCTTACTTTGTGTGGTACACGAAGTGTGGCAACTCATTCTAAGTTTAAAATACTCAGTCATATAAATTATTAATGTTTGCAGTGAAACGACAACACAGTTGACTGACAAATTCAGTTTCAACATGGAACTTTGTATAAAAGTGCATTAGTTCAAATTGCTAGAATCCATGTTGCACAATAAGGCAGACAATACAAAAAAATTCAGGAGAACTATAATGAACGGAAATCTAAGAGAGAAACAACACTTCCCTAGTTGGTGAGCTCAAATTAACTGACAAAGTCTTCATGGATTGCTGCCAGGTTTTTTTAACTTAACCACCCGTAACTCTTCTCCAACGTAACCCTAAGTCAGCTAACATTGCTCCGTGAGGACAGCAATGGCTTGATATGGGTAACACATGTCCCAGTCATATCAATTTATCTAGCTTCACAACCTCATCGATTGACTTACACGCCCCTACCTAACACTCTACACGTCAACTCACTGTGCTACTTACCTCGCTATGCCACTTAATACGGGGAATAGAACGCAAACACCTTTTGAAACTCACTCAGTCAATGTATTTATAAGCGGAACACACACACACATACATCTCTGTTTCACTACATTTCATCAATACCATGAAGAAACAAAGTGCTTTTCTATATAAAAATACTTCATTACAATATTTCAATGCCAAATAGTAACAGTGTGCATGAAACTCAAAGATTTAGCGTTTATGAACATCTATAAAGTCAATGATTCTGCAAAACTACTTATAAAGAAGAAGCGATGAATACTGAATAAGTGTGACACTTCCATAGTACACACACGCAAAAACCATGAATTAGAGAAGAGGAGCGTAGGACATGCAGAAGGAAATGGATATTGGATCACTCTGAGAACACCGTTGGATGACATAACAATCCAAGCAGGTCCTTGAGTCAAACACAAATGAGAGATGACGAATTGGGCGTTGGTCTGAGAGTTACATGTAAGAGATCAGGTGAGGAGAAGATGCAGGTTTATGGACAATCGTGGAACCAACTAAAACAGACTGCAGAGAACATGGTGGAATGGAAATGTCATTCTGAAGACTTATGTTCCACTCGAAACCCAAGGGGATAATAACAATAATAATGGATGAGGGTTCAAGTGACCTATAATTTACAACATCACATATCTCTTATGAAAAGTATAACCGTCAAACAATGTTACTGATGGGTAAATGTCTTTAAACTTAACTTGTTTGCACTGGCAACCATATATTAATTTCCAAATTAGATAAGTTTATTTTAATAATCATACAACAATGCAGTATTAACGACTGGATGACGTTTCAAGTATAAATTATCGCTCACAATCATATCGATTAAGTCACACCGATTCACAATTTGTCTCATATAGACGTTGCATCATTCCGACTACACGTGTGCCGTGTTGAGTCGATTAAACAAAGCTTCAGTGATTACCCCTCTCTCTCTCTCTCAATCCACATAACCACATTACTTTTAAATACTCTCACATCTTGTCTCATCCTATCGCTGAGTGATTTCATGCAAGTGAATCCTGAGCTTTCTTCTGAGTTATTTAACTTAGCATGATCAATCATTCTAGGCCGAGCTGAAGTTTCATAATTCTAATAATCTAATTAACCCCGATCTACTTGTTTGACCTATGTGATTGATCATACTCACAGTCATTACATGACATTTGTTAAACTATATTACATTTCAAATGAACTGTAGTCAAGATTTGACAGAATAGTTCTATAATATTTGGGCGCCGAGTGAGAAGTAGACATTTGTAAAAAATTATATTTGTAAAATCTCAGCGATATTGAAATGAGTATTTCCGACGTTTCGTTCGGAAATCTGGTCCGAACTTCTTCGGGGAAATTAATCGAAATTAACATGACAGGTTTATACATAAAAGGAACATCTTTTGTTTTTAAAAACTTTGTCCAATCATGATTCATAAAACAAATATTAACAAGTATAATAAACAAAATTGTACGAGTTGTGATCAAAATTTGACCTCAGACTTACAAATATTGATCTACCTTTGTTAAACACTTTAAACACAGTGTGTATGTGTGTGTGCGAATAAACAGTTGTAAAACAATGTCTTAACGTCTCCATAAGTAGATATAGACAGTCAGGAACTTTGATCAAGTATTATTAGTTAGTGATACATATTCATTCTTATTTATTAATCAGGACTTCCTATGCGTCATCTAACATCACACCTTCATGTCTGTTCAAACTGTTAGTATCTAGAATTTTGATGATTAGACGTATTTTCAAAATTATGGTGTTTAGGATTAGAGTTTAGTTGAACAACCCCGTCAAACTTATTACCTTGTCTTCTTTCTGAAAATTAAGCTGCTTTATTCGACTTACTGAAGTTGTCAGGTGACTGGACAGCTACGAATTTAGGATACGCATTCTGTTGCAGACAACGGAGAGTGGAAACACGATGATTGTGCCAAATCTTGACTACAGTTCATTTGAATTATTTTGCAATCGAATTAAATTAACAGAGAAACTATGTAATTGGCACAATCATCGCGTTTCCACTCTCCGTTGTCTGAAGCAGAATGCGTATCCTAAATTCGTAGCTGTCCAGTCACCTGACAACTTCAGTAGGTCGAATAAAGCAGCTTAATTTTCAGAAAGAAAACAAGGTAATAAGTTTGACGGGGTTGTTCAACTAAACTCTAATCCTAAACAACATAATTTTGAAAATACGTCTAATCATCAAAATTCTAGATACTAACAGTTTGAACAGACATGAAGGTGTGATGTTAGATGACGCATAGGAAATCCTGATTAATAAATACGAATGGATATGTATGACTAACTAATAATACTTGGTCAAAGTTTCCCGACTGTCTATATCTGCTTGTGGAAACATTAGGACATTGTTTTACAACTGTTTATTCGCACACACACATACTGTGTTTAAAGTGTTTAACAAAAGTAGATCAATATTTGTAAGTCTGAGGTCAAATTTTGATCACAACTCGTACAATTTTGTTTATTATACTTGTTAATATTTGTTTTATGAATCATGATTGGACAAAGCTTTTAAAAACTAAAGATGTTCCTTTTATATATAAACCTGTCATGTTAATTTCGATTAATTTCCCTGAAGAAGTTCGGACCAGATTTCCGAACGAAACGTCGGAATTACTCATTTCAATATCGCTGAGATTTTACAAATATAATTTTTTACAAATATATAATATTTCTTATTCATTGGATCTTTGAAGTCATTTAAGCTGACAAAATTTATCTCTGAGAGATATAAGAACAGAAATTTTGCACTGTAGAAGAGTATAATTTCATTGTGGGTAAAATTAATTTTCATAAAGTGTCAGTGTTATACAGTCATATTTACTGATGACGTTTCGAGTGCAATTTACTGTTCATAATCGTATCTCGTAAGGAAATGTCATGATTAGATACTATTGTATAACACTGTGAGACTACCAAAACAAATTTTACCCACAATGGAATAATCTCTGAGAGAGTCGGCTCATTTGAATGCCACCCAAATTTAAGCCTTATTGAGAATCCTACGAAAGGCCTATACCAGAGATATGGAAAATGGCAACAAACAACAAAGAGAAGTTAAATAGACAGAATATATGTAAGACAAATCGTGAAACAGTGTGACTAAACTGATAAGATTACAAGCAACAACTTATACTCGAAATGTCATCCAGTTGTTAATACTGCATCAGTGTATGATTATCGAAATAAACTTATCCAATATGGAACAAGCAATAAAGGTTAATAAAGCAGGATTTAATGAATTCATCAAATTTCGATAGAACTCGTCAGCTGAATACTCTACATACACGGATACACATATACTTTTGAAATTACATTGGGAGATATAAAACTGATAAGTAAACAAACTACATTGAATTAGTCATGCAGAAAAACAGGTTCGAATGTTTTCCAGGTCATGTTCAAATAGATAAGGGGAGAGAGAGAGTATGAGAGATCAAAATTAAGATAAATTGCATTACGCTTCAATTACATCACTTAGATAAACAATTAGTCATTGGGGGAATATAACGAGAGTTGCAAACAGACTAATATCAATAGTAATAGTTATAATAACAATAATAATAGTAATAGTGTTGAAGTGAGTTAAGATAATCTTACTCATAAAGCATAGTTTCAAATGAATCAAGAATAATAATAATGATAATGATAATAATAATAATAAGACGTAGAATAATAGTAATAATAAGTAAAGAATAATAAGTAAAACGTATTACCATGGTAGATTCAGAGTTACGGCCATCTCCTTTTGTACACAGAGACCTGGCTTATGAACTCGAATTGCACAAACCTCTGCAATTGCAAGCATCTTCTTGTTTCTTTGTTTGCTGACAATGGTAAATGACTTGACTGCGTCGATATCATGTCCGTAATCCACAGGATGTTTTTTATTGAAGATTTTGGCACTTTGCACTCAGCTGTTTTCAACAATTTTGGCAAATACTCCATCATGCGAGTAGACAATCGCCTTTCCGTACTACCTATGTATTTGCTTCCACAAACAAACTCAAATTGACATACGCAGTTTAAAGTGTCGAGGATTGACGACAGGTCTTTCCCAAATTGTTGAAGCACTCGCTTAGTGATGTTAAGGAAAACACGTTTTGCAGCATAATAAGTTCTCTTGATGGCTTTGTCGAGTCTTCGTTTGACTACTTCTTGCACGTCATCTCCTTTGAAGGGCAAACTGATATAGACAGGTTTCTTCGGAACTGTTTGAATTGTTTTGCAGGGGCTTACCCAAATATGGAATTACATTCTACCCCACTGCCCAAGTTCTACACTTACATTAACTATATACGAAATCTGCAACTTCTCTATAATCTCAGTTAACCACTCAAAGAGTTGAAAACACATTCAATAATTATTATATAATAATAACTGAGTGTTCTATAGATTAAGAAGTAACTCCAAACATCCACTATCTTTTATGCCATTCAACGGAAGTTTAACGTTTAAAATGACTAAATGCTACGACTCACTGACTGAGTTTATGGTTATCAAAGTAGACATTTCCACAAAAGTGTTACATCACTTCATAAGGCATAAAATAAGTTCCAAGATGCTTTGACGCATTAAAAATATACAAGAGAAAGAGTTAACAAATGGAGAACAATGATAATTTGACAGATTTAATTATTCATAAATGGACTGAAAGCATCTGAGCTATTGAGAGCTATTTTCAGCCATGTTGACAACATTCTCCAGTCACTGGTTCTTGGAATGCCCACCCTACCCCACACCCCCAACTTCATGCAGTCAGTCTACACATCCCTACGTGGAACTTTCCAAATGTATCGAAAAGAAAATAAAGGAAAATAAAAACGCATTACTCACCAATCATACCAACCACGTATAAACGATAAGCTGGTGATAATCCACCAACATGTTTCATACGAAATACACGATGAATAGGACTTTTCATTATATCCACAATAATTATTTCACTCAAATCTAAGTAACCTTTAGCCCGCAGGGTTATACGATACACTCCTGGTGGTAAGACGACGCTAAAATGACCATTTTGATCAGTTGAACCAGTGGACAATTCACTGCGCATATAATCGATGTGAACGCGAACCCACGAGATTGGTTGATCATTTGAATCCTACACAAATGTTATAACATAAAATATAGAAATAAAAATGTAGAAGAAATGCCACGAAAAGCAATTTGTGTGTGAGTAATATATCAGTTACACAATTTCACACACACACACACACACACACTAAGAACTGATGAGACATCTATCGGTGTAGGTTAATCAATGAATTAATCATACAAGTTGAAAGTCGGTGATAAATCCTGACAGACGATTGGTTCAGATCTGACATAACAGGTAATACGAGATAAAGTACACTATAAGCCACACGAACACAATGCGTGAAAACAAAGTATCCTGGTCACTAATCCAGACTTCAACCACTACCAACACGAAAAACGAAGAGCACAAAATCAACCCCCACTCCCATTGATAAGGAAGCTTTAGCTGTCTTTAGCAACACACAAACAACTTTAAAGTGAAGTTAAATCACCTTGAAAGAAAATGAGTTCTGAAACAGTCGACGGTAAGCACACCTAATAATTCACCATCATAAAATGACAAACAGCGTAAATCGCTGAATACAGGTAAATGTTAGGTACTGCAATACGAAGACAAACAAATTGGTACAAGAAGCAGAAGAGATAGGAGTTCAAGTACACATGGAGAAGAAAGAGGTGATGAAGATACCCACGGACTAACAACAACAAGCACCAATCCCTATCAATCGGAAACAGATCACTTCTTTAAGTTATCTAGGCAGCGTCGTTTCAGCTACAGGTGAAGGCTGTCTGTCTGTCTGTTTTCGACATAGAACTTTGCACCGATGTGCGACAGTTCGACACGCCACACTCCATGTAGCACACAAAGCCAGAGAAGAAAGTAGAAGAAATGCATATTAGAGACAGTAAACAGAGGCGTAAGACAAAGGAATAGGAGTAACGAAGAACAAAACAGTTTCATTGGAAATCATAAGTCACAAGGAGTGGATGCATCTGCACCGGCCATTGAGAACGATTTTGAGCCATGTCACCAAATGTTTCCAACCATTGGTTTTTACCGTCCCGAGGACCCCAACCAGGAAGCCAGTCTACACCTTCCTACGTGGCTGGCTTAAACTACCTGTTGTGGATTTCATTGACTGGCGCCATGTTTTGGTTTGACCCCCAGTAGCTCTTTTCCAGCCTGGCCCTATATCTTCTAACATTGCCCGTCAAGGAAGGCGATCGATGACTAGGCATACGTAACACATATCCTAACCATCTCAGTCGATTTAGCTTCACAACCTCGTCGATTGATTTCCCCTCCTTACCTAGAACTCGATCGATGCCTTACCTGAATATTGCTCACCCTATTATTCCACTTCACACAGGAGATAGAACGCAGGGACCTATGATCAAAGACAGCTAATCTTTTCATGTCTTCCACTCTCAATGGCCAGGTCACACAGCCATAAAGGCGACGGCACAGATGAGGATGTCAAAAACAGAATCGGAAAGGCGAAACACATTTATATCACTCCGAAATCAGTTTATAAACCTTCTGCCCTCAGCATACACAACAAATGTCAGATTTTCAACACCAATGTTAAGTCAGTCACTGCTTCTTTATGAGTCACAAATTCGGCACACGCATCACGAAAAGTATTTGCGACAGGATACTACAGACGTCTAATAACACCTGTCTTCATTGAGCTGATACTGAAGATCAGATGGCTAGCTGGAAAGGATAATCAACAAGGAACTCTGGAAACGACCCAACCAAGAACCTATCGCTCAACAAATATGTCGAAAAAAACGGAGATAGGTACGACAAACAATGCGCAAACCGTCGAATGAAATCGTGCAACAGGTAAGTGTTCCAGTGGAGCCCGAATAAGGAACAACGAGTTGGGCGTCCGAGGAAGACATGGCGGAGATTAGGGACTGTGGGCAGGCATGAAGCTAGGTTATGTGGACCACAGAGGACAGGACAAAGTGGAGACGTGTTGTTGAAGTCCTATGTTCCACTCAAAACCCAAGGGTAAGATCATAATAATATAAAAAATTACAGTATGCCTGGAAATTTACAAACATTAATTCAATTTTTTCGTGAATATCAAATTAAGAAGTCTTAAATCAAATCTTGATGAATCCGACGAAACATACGCTGAGTTAGCAATGAATTATAGGTTGATGTAAATTTTTCGGAGATAGAACACAGAGATTACTTTAAAAGATGGCCAATATAGCATGCTTTAAAACCTACTTCAGTAATAACTTCACTAGCCAAAGGAAATTCAGATCTGAAGATGGATGAGCAACATCACCCCAAAATGTATGCGATGTGAAGGAGTTTGTCAAAGCCAACTAAGATCAAGAAATCAATGTGGAGGTTTACAGCATTCAGTAAAAGGAATCAGATTCGGACTTTTAACACTGAAGTCAGTGCATCTATATGATTCAGACACTTATTATGCGCAGCACCAAAAAGTATTTCCGACAGGCAATTGCAACCTTTCAACAACAGCTTCCCCTGCGCTTGATAACGAAGATCAAGGAACTCCACAAACGAAGCAACCAAAAATCTATTATTAAATATATTTGCAGAAAGAAATTGAGACGGAATGCACATACACCTGAGAAGACCATTGAGTGACATCACGCACTAAGTCATCGAGTGAAAGTCGAGTAGGGAATGGCAAGTTAAGCATCCAAGTGTGACATGGAAAAGGTCACACGATTAGGATATGATAGCTTGTGTAAGCAGTAGAACCAACTGAAATTGGTAGCACAGAGAATCCAATGAGGTGCAGATATGCTGATGAAGATCTATGTTTTACTATGAACCCAACGGACAAATAATACTACACTAGTAATCGCTAATAAATGCAATATTATTCGTTGATGTTTTAGAAAACTACGAATGAATTAGTGCACGCATACCAGAAGGTCGATTTTTTTAATACAGCTTGATTCCACACCGTAATTTATAGAATTTTCAGCATGTGATAACGGTAGCCCAAATTTTGCAGGCCGATCATAGACATCAGGTGTGCGTCGGCAGGACCCGGACCATGTGCATGGTCGGCGAGAGTCCTAACCACTGTGCCCCCGACGCAGATGAAGAATGTGATGTCGTGCCTCAGAAACTAGATCACCGAACCGGTAATTGCGAAGCCGTTGCTTCGAGCAAACTAAATTTTCAAGTATTGGTTTGCAGTGATTTGAGTGACTTCAAGTTTGACCAAGACCAGTTAGAAAGTGCAGGTCCTGGGTTCGATCCCAGTGTGATCGTGGGTGTGTACTGATGAAGCGTCCACCAAAACAAGGACGAAATAGCTACCAGTACTTCCCAACTTTCAATGGTTCTCTGACTGAAGGTAGTTTGTCATCAATCTGGGAAAACCTTGCAGTAAAATATAAAAACGAACCAGGTATTTTCAATCCAAAATACAGTAACATAAACGAAACAATTACTAGCAACAAAAACGTATATATATATACCTGACTTATTTATTTGTTAGGTTTAAAAACTCACATGAACATGGCCAATAAGACCAAGACTTCCTAGCCCAGTTAAACTAGTATGCTCAATTAGACCAAGCAATAAACTTGGAAACCTGTAGTCTGTCCATACACGAGCAACACCAGAAGGAGTCGGTGAAAAACATCCAGGGCATAGGGTGAGACCGACACTTGGCGGTATCATTAAAGGCAATGGAGGAGCAAATGACAGACTGGATTGCAGTTGAAAGTTCTCTGTTTCTTCTAGGGCTAATGTTGGATTCATTGAGGCTAGACTAAGGGCTAGAGCAGCAGCTTTGGCAAATGTATTCTCCAGCCTATGTGCATTATTATTATTATTATCGTATTGCTGAAAACGAAAATCACCAGGTCTGCGACGTCTATCAGATATTTTAGAAAATTTCTGCGAGAATTGTGATTGACTTAGTGTACACATACTTGATGGACGATGAAAACTTGGAGAAAGTAGTTTACCAAGAAATCTTAACCAATTATAACTTTCTAGTAATAAATCCTGACCATATTGTGATTCACTAGGGTCTAAAATAAAGTAATCACAAAATGAATTACAGACAACGAAAAATAAAAGAATTTATCATCAGCACATCAGGAATAGTTTACAGCTATAAAATATGCATTTATACATACAAAAAAATTCAATCTTGATTTCTCCACTGTTTGATTGAAGAGAAATATTTGGCCTCAGTTGACATGTCAACTCCTGGTGCAGAGACTTCAACGATGTCTGAAGGGATGATGACCGGACATTTCAGTGCAATCAATCAAACGGGGAAATCAAAGTTGAATTTAAAAGAGAACAATAACTGATGCCCATCGCACAGGAGGTGGTCTAATGGATAAAGCTTCGGTATCTGAAATGATGGGGGGTACTAAGATTTGAGTCTCAGTGGGACCACCACCTCTCACTAGGAACGCAGATACATTTGTGGCTGACGAGTCGTGAATACGGCGAAATGCGAATTCTGTACTCCAATGCGAGCAACCACCCACCAAATTACTTTGAGAAAACGAATAGTTCGAAACATACATCTTATAAATTATTTTTAAGAAATTATATCGCATGAGGAAAATTAAACAAATGGTGTGTGTGAATGCTTATAATAACAATGTGAAATACTTTCTAAACGAATACGAGAGCAGATTCCAGTATGGTTTTGAAAGGGAGAAAGAAATGGTATGTGAAGTTGTACTCTAGAACACCTGATCAACGATTTGTGTGCGTACAAATGAAATATGTACTGTCGCTATTTCTTACTTGGCCTTAGAATAGTAAGGAAGGATACACATTTATTCATTTTCCGTTTTGTTTAATTAAGCTTTGTACTTTTCGCTCATTTTTACAACTGTTGTGATTTTTGTGTTCTTTACCTGAAGTCAGCTGGTGGATCATGACTAGCAGGGGAAAACAGGACATGCATTCAGGGCTCCTCACAGTTGGATAAATTTGCATTCCACAATGATGAGTTTTTTTTCCTTCACGTTCCCCAGTGGAACATAGGGCTTCAAGCTACAGGCTTGAAGTTTCTGTAGCAGTGGTGATTATTTTTACAGGATGGGGTTGCTAGCCTCATGCCCAACCTTCCCTCTTTACCAGCTTTTTATTTCTGGCTTAGCGAGGTAAAGGAGTGCGTCGGCCGGGGATCGAACCCCGGGCCATGTGCATGGTCGGCGAACGTCCTGACCGCTGTGCCACCGACGATGATGATGAGTGGTGTTTCCGTATCCCCAGACTTAATCACAAATTCTGGCCCAAGGCTGGGCTGTGACCCACTGACAACAAACCAGTCAAGAAGCATATTACCTAACAAATATGCACACAAATAAAGATGAATTGAAGACAAACTGAGATAACAGTTGATTGACATCAGGAATCGGGTAGATAGTCGAGTGGAACCCAAAAATGGGGAACGACGAGTTGAACATGTCTCCGAGAGTGATATCGAGGAAAAGGTGAAAGATTATGAGCAATCTTGTAGCTATCTAGAAAAGACAAGAGCGAACATAGTGAAATGGAGGTGTGCTGCTGAAGTTCTGTGTCTCAGTCGAAACCTAGTGGAATAGTAATGGCAACTATTTATATTAACTAACCAATTTTTAAGCAGTTAGTGATATTTTGCTAAATCAACAACTCTTCAGTGTTTCCAAACTTAAATCAAGTCAAGGAAGATTTGGAAAGACTTAAATGGGTAGCTACAATATGAAAGCATATGTGTAATTATGTCAATGATTCAAGCCGCATAAACTCCAGTCTTAATCAGTCATTAAAGATTCTCTTATCATTAACACCTACATTCTTCTGTGCACAGTTCAGGCCATCAATTAAAGAATACTTTTAAGTGTTGCTCTGTAGGGACCACCAAGCTCAACAAAGTTGGGTGTGAGGACAAATACTTGTCAGTGACAATACCTGGCAGCCGCACTATGTATCACAAATAGGCAGAAGTTAGAGTTCATGAATCATTGGATTTCTTTCCAGTGACTGAATGACCAAGAGGATCACCTTGTAAGCTGAAAGTCCTGGGTTCGACCCCTGGTGGGTTCATCGGTGAGAAGTGCTTAAGGGTTCTAAACAAGAACAGATTAGCTTTCCAGCACACCATCGTTTTCCATGATTCTCTAATTGAAGTCATTTCGTGATCAATCTATATATTAAGGAATGACTGGATGTATGCCAGTCATGGATTTAGTTGTCAAATCACCCTCCCCAACTGCAAACCTAATACCAACACTCCAGTATTCAATAGCTTGTCATTTTAACCGACACAGTGATTTCCCATAAAACCCAATATCCAGCCTATTTCACCTTCAATAGCATACGACCAAACTAGTGTTGTGGAGTGAGCCGCTGACAAAAACTTATAGGTAGCATTCGTGTGTGTGTGTGTGATGTCTTCTGCGAGATTCTTTCATTTCGGACTAACGGACTGAGTAACGCAGGAAGAAATGAAGATCCTTGTGAAATAATACATAGAAAGCATGAAAGAAAGAAAATAAGCAAAACAAGGATGACTTTTGCACAAGGAAATTTAAATGTAAGGTTTCCGTATTTTTCCAGTTTGTTCCCCCGAAACACTATCCTTTTTAACTAGATTTAAGTAGACTAGTAGCCTATTGGCTTAAGCACCTCACTTTCAGACAACAAATCCTATGTCTTAATCCCACTTCACTTACTTAGGCCTGGGCAACTGACCGGATAGTATCGTTAAACTTCACACGATAGATGGGACTTATAACTCAGTACCGGGTTACTCCTTATTATTTATTAAAACAAACTTAGCATAAAATAGGCACTATAAGATGCGCTACACAGAATCCCATAGTTTGTGAGAGAGTTGTGATACTGCCCGAACACCCAAACCGAAGCAGTTGGTTGTCTTAATGGGCCTTCCTCCCCAGAAGCTTTGACTTGACGTCCAATCCACAAGACAGTATATCAGTGTTAAGAGCTGCGTCCCCATGGTTTCCGGTGACCAAAACAGGTTCATATGCCATTCGATCAGTTCGCATTCTGTAGCCTATGTACACCTTAAGTTTGGAACCAGAGCTTTCCAGCTGAGCTAACTTAGGTAGACTAACATGTCCACCAGTCCGGTTGTAAGCGCCAGGCGTTCGCATTCACCCCTTCAATTATGTGAAGAATATCCCCGCTGCGTGAAGTTATTGAATAGGAGTTAGTTACCTGGTAGACGCGATGAGTTCCATCAACTAACTATATTTACAGGGAAAATAAGGCTTTACAAACAGTATAAGTCAATTTTAAGTAATCCGATAAAATAAAGCAAACTTGCCTGTATCATAATTTATATCAGGTAGTCGATCAGTTGGAAAACTTATAATAGAATTCACTTGATGCAACTTTAACCATTTCACTAAAGCTAGATTCTCTGGTGCAAGTGATTTTGATAAAGACTCCAGCTTCGACTTTGATTCCCACCACCATTGATGACTCAAAGTTAAATTACTTCCGGTTAAACCTTAGAAAAACAAAAACAACAAAGGCAGCATAAATAATAACTGAAGTAGAACAAAACTTTCCAAATGAAACAAACTGATTATTTAAGTCTGTAAACGGGCTTTTAAGTCACTATCGAAAGATACAAATCTTTAGGGATAATTAAAAATAATACCGCTATTGCTAACTTTAACATTAACAACGCCCTGACTGACTGTATAACGTCGTATACACTGTCCACCAGTTCACCAGTTCATATACAGCATAACCATGGAAGTTGGTTTCTTCTTTAAGTATCCGAAGCAGAAGAAGCATTATTCATGCGTGACCAAAGAGTCCAGGGACAACAGCTTACCACCAGCCCTGTTTGACTTAGTTTTTGGGGTTGCATGTGTATGAAGATCTCATCGGTGACTACGGACTGCCACAAGGTAAGTCGGAGTATACAATTTTCACGGCCAATCCTTCAGGTGATACTGCAGCTGATATCCTGAAGAATCGCTTATGTAGATCACTGAGGAAAGCCTTCTTTACAGCTGAGCTACGGATTAATCTCTACAGTCAAAAAATGATTAATGGATGTGTGAAGGATAAACTGCCGCTTTGGGTCACTTCAATATGTGTTTATAAATTTACCTACTCGTGTGGAGCTAGTTATATTTGCCGCACAAAGCGTACACTTTCGGAATGCATCTCTGAACATTATCCGGCATGGTTAGCGAAAGGACAATGCAAGGCAATTACTAGCTCAATTCTCGAGCACTTGATGAATTCAAACCAAGTAGCTCCACCAGAGTTGTCTTTCAAGATCATCTACAAGGTGAGGCCAAATGGAACAAAGGGCGTCAGGTTTTGGCCTTTGTGTATGGGGGAGGGACTGGCAATTCGTCTACACAACCCCGAACTCTGTATACAGAATAAGTTTGTCCAGTCTCTTATTCTACCTTGATCTTAACCTCTTCACTAGTCGTTCCCTGTAAAAAAAATTTTAATTTTTTTCAAATTTCTAATTTCACTTTTAGTTTGCTTTTACTTTAATAATTAATTCACTATTATCACTCTCATAAGTTCGTTTTGTGCATTTTCATAAACGGAAAACTTCAAAGTCTGAACATGACTAATTTACCACCTGTCTATACTCACACAAGTGCGTTGTGGTTCAGTGGTAGGATACTAAGCAGTCACTCACAAGGTACAGGGATAAGCCGCCGGCCAACATACTCCAGACACTGAAGCACAGTAAAACATGGAAGGTCTAGAGTGAGTCTAGCAACACCACTCCGTGAAAAAGAAAACCACTGCTACTGAAATTTCAAAGCTTAAGCTTGAAATCCTATGTTCCTGATAGGATATTTTAAGCCAGTGGTTGCAGAATTCATCTTGTCGATCGGATGATCTTTGACTTCAATGTCTAATAAATGATCGTCGTAGTCAGTCGTTCTCTTTGTTGTTGTCAACGCGTTTTCGTTGCCGTCCCAGGTGAATCTCCGTCCTTTGATATTTACGTAGCTCAATGAAGCAGAGGGTACACTAAGAACGAATAACCATGTTTAGCAATTCAGTTCAGTTGTTCATTGCGTTCAGTGTTGTTACATCCACGTTTAAGTCCACCCGGTCATATCAACCGTCGAAGAGATCATATCGGTTGGCGAGGGGTTGATGTCAGTCCCACTTCAAACAAAAAGGATAAATTACATAATAAATATATAAACATACATATGTTAACTTACTGATTAACTGTTCCCACAAATCTGTACCAGCATCATTTGTAGAACCAGGAAATAAGGTATTATCAGTACTGAACCGAAATTGAAAAAAAAAATTAAACAATGAATAAACACACATGCTTTGGGCTATAGCCTACACTTATTGTGCGGAATCTGATGATACTCATGTTGCAGTAGGTGGAGCATGATTCCATACTGTGACCCATTAGCTTTATATGTACAAGCATACAAACCATCTGGCTAACTGACCGATTGGTTGTGGAGAAAGAATAGTAATATGGAAAAACAATAGGGTTCTATGGAATATGATTGATCTCAAAGAGTTATTGCATCACCCCCATTGAGAACGATTTTGAGCAATATCACCAATCGTCTCCAGCCTTTGATTCTTAGAAACACGAGGACTCCGACAGGGAGCCTACACCTCCTTACATGGCTAAAAACCAAATATAAAAAACTTCATTAACTGATTTCATGTTTTGCTCGTCCACCCCTAGCTCCTCTCCAACTTGAAGCTATGTCGAGGAAACCGACGCTTAGACATGCGTGACACACGCTCAATCGATACAGCTTCATAAATTCATCGTTAGATTTTCCCTACTCACCTACCACTTGACGCCTAATACCAGTATTATTCACCCTTTTATATCACTTAGCATAGGAGATAGAACACAGACACCTATGATCAAAGACAACTAGCATTTTCATGTCTACTTCTTTCAATGGGCACGTCTCATTCACAGCCATAAAGGAGGACGGAGAGGACTACTGCACAATACATAGATCCTTTGATCGGTAGTCGAATAACACGTCTACACCAGAGATGATGTAGGTTGATAAATAATACACAAGCCTGTTGTATCCGTGCTGAGATTTTGTCAGCAATCAGCCCGTTGGCCCTGGTGCAAGTGAAGTAATCAACATGCTCTACCACTTCACTTCGCATCTTTATGCTAGGAGTTGGCGTATTCCAGTCCTGTAACATTGTCATCTTTCATTTGACACGCCAAACATTCAAAGATCGCCATTCAAGGTGTTCAGAAGCCTTTGCATTTTATTAGTAAATTATTAAAATGGTTCGATTAAATCAAATGAATGTTCCGAAGTAATAACAGTGATAGGAGAAAAGAGCAAAGAAGAAGAGCATACGTTCCCAAAGCGTCAACAAGTAACAAAATTTAATTCAGACTTTCCTAGCATGACAAATATAACCTGCAATTTATATGCAAAAGATTCATGATTTGTGAAAGGTTATAAAAAAAAGCAAAAATACATGGATATCATACCTTTTAGAATGATAACAATAATCATTATCGAACAGTGAGTTTTCAGACGTTCCCCAATCCGCGGATGATGCTGATGATGATGCATGTTTCTTACTCCACGATTTGTATAAACCATCAGGATTAGGAATTGGAATGATTGTAATTGTTGCCGAATTCAATAAGTTATTCACTGTTATCTGACTACTACGACTATCACATAGGAAATTTAAGAAATGTGTCAACAGTTGAGGTGTTAAACGATCATGTCCGTGTAGATTACCGATAATAGCTATTTTTGGCATATGTTTCAAAGAATCATTCAAAGGATAAGTATCATTGATGACATCGAAAAAGAATTCACTATTGGACATTACATTTGAATTTTTATTATTACTATTGGTACTGGTTGTATTGACATTTATCAATTCTAATGTTGTATATTTAGGACCAAGTTCAAAAGCATAAATAGGTCTACCCTAAATAAGAATAGGAATAGATAAAAAAAGGATAGGATATATCAGCATTGTAAGTGAAAATAGTAAACAATAAGGAAACAGTTAAACACAGCAGCCTTACAGTATGCTTTCAAGTACATATAATCGTTTCTAACAGTGGCATTGAGTGAAAAAGCATTAAACACAATAACAAAACAGAAAAATGTGCAAGACAAGTAGACACAGAAATGTAGAGGATAAAGGTTGAACCAGGAGCCGATTGTGCAACAAATAGGCAGGAAGAAATGGAGATGGATTGGTTGGCCATACATACTCTGAGGAAACCATCAAGTGACATCACTAGACAAGCCATCGCTCGAGTGGAAGCCGAAAGGGACGTGGCGAGTTGGTCATGTGAAGAGGAGATGAAAGCAAGTGAGCAGACTTGGAGCGGAGTGAAAAAGTTGGCGAGAAACCGAAGGCAATGGAGACGCGCGGCTGAAGCCCTATGTTCCTCTAGGAATTAAAGGATATAATAATAATAATAAAGGTTGAACATTCTTCTTTAATACCAGAAAGAAAAGAAAACAAACATTTCACCACTTACAGGAGTTATCACACAACTTGTCATCAGTTACAGAACCATTGGAAAACCTGGGAGGGCTCTTTAGTCGTAGTCTGATACCGACTCTTCGACAGTACTCACCCATCACAGGAGATCAAACCCAGGAAGTACCAGTTACAAGGCGAGCTCGTAGACCATTCAGCCAAGAGTCCATGAATTCCAACTTCTGCCAATTCATGATATATACTTAGCACATCCGCCAGACAGTGTAAGAAGCGAGTAACTGCTCATTTGCCTGAAGTTGGTACACTCCGCTGGTTACAACTTCTCACTAGAAACCTAAGTAACCTCCTTTATAGGGCCAGATGCTATTGAGCATGAGACTAATTATTTATTTAAATTAATTTATATTCCATGTTAATTGATTTTATTGGACTGAGATGCGTAGTCACTTTTGTTATGTCCGCTTCTACTATAAACGCTTCGATAACGTCTGAAGATTAACATCATGTTATATGACTGATGGTGGCTAGTTTTGAAGTCCAGGATGTGCTTCAGTGTGTTAGGTTCGACTCCCAGCGAGAACTAGATCAACCACTGCGCATTCAGGCATATCCAGATGACGAGTCTGGATTCCATCGTCAGTCACCATCAATCACAAAAAAACTTAATTAGCCGACAATCTTAAAATGTAATTTAAAAATATTCCACATAATCACGTCGAAATGAAACTTAGACCATACATATATCATATGCACGATCAAAACAAAATATGAACTGAAATTTTATAAATATGGCAGAAAACTTTCGACCGATTTCCTGCATTTCGATATCAAAAGTCACGTGATAAGTAGTTGATTTTGCAGTAAGAACCATTGGAAAACCTGGGAATACCGGACAACTGTTTCTTCCTAGTTTGGGACTCTTCATCAGTACGCACCCACCGGGATTCGAACCCAGGACCTTCTGGTTACAAGGTGAGCTCCTATACGAGGATGAAACAGCTGTCCAGTACTCTCCGCACGTTTACCAATGGTTCTCTAACTAATGTCAGCTCATGATGAAATCCTGTAACCAATGAACGAAATCCCTACAAACCAACACTTGAATAGATAGATTATCTGAAGAGTCTGAAAAAACAGGACATCAAACAGCAACATGAAATACAGTTTAGTTGACTGAATTGATGGACTAAGCAATAGGAGCTTTAATGGATAATGCTACAACTCAAATACAGAAACTAAAGAGTGATATAAATATGTTGACGTGCTTATTTAGTTGGTATTAAAAATGATGGAGAAGTTTTGTATCTCACAGATGGGATGACATTGGTACATTGTTGTCCTGTCAGCTGGATGGTATAATTGCGAAGCATTCATTGAAGCATTTATGTATGGGTTTGTGCTGAAGATGTTGCTTAAAAAGGCAACGAAAGCTTAGCGGTTAAACCGTCCAGCTCAGAGGACTCAACTATACCAATAGCTGATATTTTTATGGTACTGGCAAGTGGAGCACACCAAAAAAGCACAAAGACAAATACGGAATATAAGAGTGAAATCAAGTTCAACTATGAATAAATAAAAACCTGTGTATTAGTGAAAATTAGCATGCCTCTTAAAGTATAAGAAAAGCAGCAAGTTATGAAAAACAGCTACAACCCAGACCACAAATGGTATAAGGCTGAAACGTCTCCGGTAAAGGATATGCACCTGGAACTAAAGAAGCCTCTTAAATCTATCTCATAAATAATAATAATAATTTGCTTTATTCCAAAACATTACTGACATTAATATTACGATGTGGACTTTTCAGCATTTGGTATACATTATTGCAACTAATTTTATCGTATAATAATAAAAACAATTATAAAGATAAGAAGATAGGATTGCTAATGTCAGTTCTTAGATGCTAATTTTAGTGACAGTGAAGTCACGTGAGGCTACAGAAATATAAACAAACAAACTATCTATGATATTGCACTCCAAAGACATCGCGCATTTCTCCACGCCTAAAATGACTATGTACGACTTGATAAGTTAATACCTTCCTTCCTTACATTTCCCTGTCACGTTTTCATGCAGACAGACTTCAGTTTTAGAAATTTCTCACATCCCTTAATATTGTAAGCCGTATTATGACTATCTAAACATCCATATATAATATTCTGGTGTTATCAACAGTTTTATTATTTATTACGCGTAATCTGAATAACGAGTTAGTATGATTGATGATAGTGTAAATTGGTTGTATTTATACCATAAAAAAAACTCAAAAGAATGAAGCTGTAAGAAAATATATTGACTGCTTAGAAATCGATTTTCCTCTTGCCCCATTTTAATCCAGCAATTTGTTATACGAAACTCCAAGGGAAATCCAGAAATGAATTTCTCAATACTCCCCCCCTCCCCCTATATACAAACAATAATCACTTTTAACATTACTGAAGATCAGATGATGGTAATAAGGAACTCTGGAAGCGAATCAACTAACAACCACCTATTTCCCAACAAATATATATGGAAGTATATATATGGAAGTAAATGTGATCAGATAACCGTTAAGTGACATCATGTGACAGGTCATGTCTCTAGTGGGACTTGGTTGGAAAATGACAAGTTCGACGTAGGTCTGAGGATAATGTGGTGATGTTCGCGTGGAGGAAGGAGGAGGTGAAAGCAGATGAACAATCGTTTAGCCAGCTAAAAAGGACTGAAGAGGACAGGATAAAATGAAGATGTGCTGCTGAAGCGTTACGCCCCACTCGGAGTCCAATGTTTAATAATAATAATAATCAATATGGCTGGTATTCATTTATGACAGAAAACATTAAATTTAGTTAAACTGACTAATGACCAAATTTACTGCTCATCAGTGACTGACTAACTATGAGATAGACTTCTTAAGATTTAAAGAAAATTTGTGACCTGTAGAGTTCATCATTTTCGGTGTGAGAATAGATTCTCGTCAATGACATTGGATAGCGGTACTGTCAGATATCATGAACTGGCAAAGATCAGAATTCACGTACCACTGGATTTTGTCGCGGTAACTAAACACTAATGTACTCGCCTCGTCCCATAAGGGTCCTGGGACCGATAGTTGGTAGAGTCATTGATAAGTACTGATGACGAAAAAGATGTCTGGTATTATTATCACTATTCCTTTGGGTTGCTAGCGGAACATATGGCTTCAGAAGCACATCTCCATGTCACTCTGTTATCTACAATTGTTCTTTAGTGACCCTTCACGATTGACCATAAGTTATTGCTTCCTCATCGCAGCTGAACGGCCAACTTGCCGCGTAACATTCGAGTTCCACCCAAAGACCTGGCACTTGATCCTACTCAACGGTTTCCTCAGAGTGTCCAATCCGTCTCTATTTACTTCTGTATATTTGTTGGGTGACAGGTTCTTGATCGGTTCACTGCCACACCACAGTTTTTTGTCGCTTATCCTTTCTAACCGGAGATCTGATCTTTTGCATGGTGTGAACATTGTCTAGTACTCTATGGTTCTCAACAGTTCTCTAACTAATATTAATTCTCATTAGTTTATTTGTAGGGATTTGATTTATTTCAAGTTTGGCTACTGCTTGATGACAGTTAGAGAACCACTGAAAACCAAGGAGTACTGGACAGTTGTTTCGTCCCAGTTCCGGATTCATCAGCAACAAGCATCCACTGGGTTTCGCACTAGAGGAAGTTAGAATCCATGGGTCATTGAGTCGCGTCCTGACAGCTGAATGGTCTACGAGCTAGCCTCATACCACGAAGGTACTGGTTTAGAAATCCAGCGGGTGCATACTGATGATGACTCTTAAATTGGGACGAAACAGCTGTCTAGTACTCCATGGTTTTCAATGGTCCCCTGAATGATATCAATACGTCATCCGACTCCAAATAATACCGATACATTAAGAAATTTAACTTTAAACTGATCAAATCCCTTCAAACCATCAACAATTGAAACTTCAAATCAACATCAACGAATCGATTAAAGAAAGATTATGGTAAAGGCAAAAGAGGAGAGAAAAAAGTGACTTACTAAATGTGATTGACCAATTGAATACATTCTACCACACGATGAATTCAATGATTCAGTAGTCCGCTTACGCATATAATCGTATATATCCTCTGGCCCGCTGAAATTGATTTCATCTAATTCTCTTTCTAAACGAATATGTGACCTCCCGTTGAAGTGGTCTAAATGAAACGAGATAGCCATAGCAACTTGTTCATAGGCATTTTCTAGTGTTGAATTCTCTGGTCCAGCAGAAGCAAACATAAGATATGTACCTGTAAAATAGTTATGAATAATGTATAGATAAGAATACGTTATGGCTCATAATATGATTTAATTTTATTAGGAAGAAATATCTGATATATACGATTTGAAAATGCGATTTCCATACCCAGTCATTCAGTAATCACTGACTGAGTGACTGAGTTTCAACATACACAACTGCACAGAAATGTACCAGTTCAAGTTCCTACAATCCATGTAGAACACAAATTCAAAAGAGTTATAATGAGCGGAAATGTAGGGAAGGGAAAATAATAAAGGTTTAATGAATATGAGAGGTAACAAAGACTCCATTGACAGTGATTGTGAGCCTTATCATATCATCAACAGTTTCCGGTCATTGATTTTTAGACTCTGGAAGACGCCCCCTCTCTCTCTCTCTCCAAACACAAAGTCAAGACCTCCTTACGTTGCTCAAAATAACAGTCAAAGACTTTATGGATTAGATGCCAAATTTTGGTTTGTCCCACCCTCCGAGTTAATCCTATGACAGTTAACATCGTTCGTAAAGGAAGACAGTGGATTGTCATACGCAGCATGTATTCTAGCCATCTCAATCGATTCACCTTCATAACTTTACCGCAAGGAATGCCCTCCTTAGCCAATACCATACGCCCAACCTTAATATTACTCACTGTATTATACAACCTAGCGCAGGGGATAGGATGAAAACATCTGTGGTTAATAACAGCTAGCCATTTCATGTCTACTACTTTCAATGATCATGTCTCATTCACAGCCATAAAGGAGGACAGAGGCAACTGCTGCTTAGTAAATACATCCATTCATGCATAGACGGATATCACGTCCAAATGCCATAGATGATGACGCAGGTTTGCGAATAGCACACAAACCTTATGTATTCGTGCTTAGATTTCGTCAGTAATAAGTCTATTACAGCTGAGATGCAACCGTCTAAATAATTGAAGTAGTCAACACGCTCTACCACTACACACCCTATCTTTAAGCTGGGAGTAGATGTAGTCCAGTTTTGTAGTATCATATTATATTTGACAGAACAGGGGAAGGTGAAAGCCCATAGATAAAATCTATCTATAAAAACCAAATAGTATGAATACAGGCATATAATCGCTAGAGGTAATCCAAAGCGACAGTAATTATAATCTTAAAATCCTGATTTCGGACATCACTCAGATTAGAGAAAAAATAAAAAAAGATAAAAGTCGCCTACATTGCTCAAATCAATCACAACATTTAGATGACTTGGTGTCACGTTGAATTTTGAAAAATATACCGATAGTGACTATTTCTTAAAACACCTAACACTAATGCTACTGACTTTACTTTGTAAGCTATTTGATGACAAATATTCTTTTTAATGCATTGCAAATTGTATTAAGCAAGCACTCAACCAAACTTCGTCAATTCTCTTAAACACTAACCCCTTACGAAGCAAACTCAAGCTGTAATACTAACCTAAATCATTTACATTACCCCTGGCTCAGAACATTTCAAATATTCCAACTCTCTTCAGAAATAATCCAAGTTAACATGTTATTAAAAGGATGGATGCACAAATTATTTACTTCTTTGGCGTCACGGGTGCCCCATTATCCCCATTTCTACTCAACTTCATCATACATGTACTAATGGATTTAACCATAACTCACTTCAGAGACACAGGGATTGACTTGCTACCAGGAAATAATCTCGTTGACTTGGAATATGCAGACGATATAGTCCTTCTAGGCGAGGACGCTGACAAAATGCAGAGTCTTCTAAACAACTTGAGCTGCAATCTACTAATGTTTGGCATGCGATTCGCTCCCGCCAAATGCAAGATGATGACTGGACTACACTGACTCCTAGATTAGAAATAGGAAGTGAAGTGGTAGAGCACGTTGACCGCTTCACTTATTTGGGAAGTACCATCAGCCAGTGCCAACGGGTTGATCTCTGACGAAATCTCAGCACGGATACAGGGGGCTAGTTTCGCATATGCCAGTTTACGCTGTCTCTAGCGTAGACGAGATATCCGACTATCGACCAAAGGGCGGGTGTACTGCTCATCAGTCCGCTCCGTCCTCCTTTATGGCTAGCTGTGAGACCTGGCCACTGAGAGTGGAAGACATGAAAACATTAGCTGTCTTTGATCATAGGTGCCTGCGTTCTATCTCCCGTGTGAAGTGGTATAATAAGGTGAGCAATACTGAAGTTAGGCGACGAGTTCTAGGTAAGGAGGGCAAATCAATCGACGAGGCTGTGAAACTACATCGACTGAGATGGTTAGGACATGTGTTACGTATGCCAAGCCATCGCCTCCCTCGACGAGCTATGTTAGTGGATATAGGGTCAGGCTGGAAAAAAGCTAGCGGAGGTCAAACAAAAACATGGCATCAGTCAGTGAAATCCACAACAGTTGGTCTAAGCCACGTAGGAAGGTGTAGACTTCCGGGCTGGGGTCCTCGGGACGGTAAAAATCTATGGTTGGAAACAATTGGTGACATGGCTCAAAATCGTTCTCAGTGGCTAACGCAGATGCATCCACTCCTTGTGACTTATGATTTCCAATGAAACTGTTTTGTTCTTCGTTACTACTATGCTTACTGTCTCTAATATGCATTTCTTCTACTTTCTTCTCTTGCTTTGTGTGGTACAAGGAGTGGAGTGTAGCGACTTGAACTGCCGCATATCGGTGCAAAGTTCTATACCGAAAACAGACAGACAAACAGACTTCTTTTGCGTACTAAATACTGACAAGAATGTCTAGTATGATATTGTAACTTCTTGATATATATCCATATAATATGTGTGTTTTGTTTGACAGTCTGTTCTTGGTGATATGTATCCATATAATATGTGTGTTTGTTTGACAGTTTGATATATTTTGCTATGTATATATGGATCCATATTCCATTATAATTAGCCAATCAAGTTAAGACTGTCTGTTGATTTGTTCATTTTGAATATTCGCTCTCACCTTGTGTTCACACACTTGTTCGGACATTCATATATTTCTGCTCTCACACTCTTGTGTGACATTTTGATTCTCCTTGTGTTTGGAAAATAGAAGTATCATCGCAAACCTAGTGGTCTTCTGATTTCAGTCTTTCTTGCGTCAGGACTATTAAATTCTCGACCAGTACATAACACTTTTGTTAACTCGTAATCCAAAACTAAAGAGTGTGTGAATAGCGAACTGAATAAGAGACATTCTGCACAAGAGTCAGTGCTTATGAATGGATGGGATTATCAAGAAAGTATGACTTACGAACAACACAATACTGCTCAAGCTCTGCAGAACAGTCAACTTAAATGAAGCAAAAATCGAAAAAAATTCTTTAATGTTTACTAACTTGGAGGAATGAGTTCACAAAAATAACCAGTTGATGAATTAATTTTTACAGATAGCCAGGTTTCACTTGAGTTTTCATCAACTGATTGATTTGAATGTTGGAAAAAGTACAATGCAGGTTGTAAAATCATCTGTGGATTTGGAGCTGCAACCCACTGTCGACGTTCAACAAGACGAGTCATAAGATTCGTGGTTAACGGGCCTGATTCAATTAAAAGCTGACCACAAAACGATACTATCAAAAACAGAAAATAAATGAAAATATATTTAAGACATTTTATTATTATTATAGAGGGTAGTTTAAAAGTGGTCGTTCAGCTGATTATAAGCTTTCATTAGATCCTGGCAGTTCCACATAATGATAGATGACAAGTTCTAATATGTGTATATCCATACAACATAATTTTCATTGTTTTCAAGTTTGATCACGGAGTGATTTCAGTTAAAAAACCATTAACAACTACGGAGTACTGGAAAGTTGTTTCATCCTTGTTTAGGACTTTTCATCAGTAGGTAGCCATAACCCCACCGTAGATCGAACCCATGAGATACAGGTTACGAGACGCCCTTCGTTGACCGTTCCCCATCACTTGAACGAAATCCAACACCCTATCAACTACAATTACTGTCAATTTGCGATTTTTTGTCTCTATTCTAGAACCGGTGAACCCCATTAGTCACGGCTAGAACTCGGGGTAACTGAGTCCTGTAGTACTGATGAAGAGTCCCGAATCACGAGGAAACAAATAACCAGTATTCGCTGGTTGTCAGCGGTCCTCTAACTGCTATCAATCAGTGGTCAAATTTAAAACCAACTAAATTCCAACAAACTACCAGTTGAAAACTAATTCATGAATAATTACCATCCAGACACTAGTGAAAACAACGACCTGATGGAACCTTAAGAAGATTAATCCATGGGAAATCCACTTGGAACGGTCAACTAACAGATATCTACAGTTGAATACCTATTGAGCGAAAATGAAATCTTATTAAGTGCCTTGCCAACTAGATCCCACGCATCTTCAGTCCTGACGCCCTGGAAGCACAAATGAAACTTCTGAAAGAAACCTTGAACCAAAATAGATACTCGCCAAGATTCATCAACGAGAATATCAAACCAAAAGTTCAGAGGAACAAAACATAACTTGTTTCAAAAATGATATGAATCTGGACTACATGGAAGGCTTAGGTTGCAATATCCTCAAGAGGAAAATTTTTCAGCACCTTTTAAAAGACCTCTCTTCTCAACAACAATAAGAGTAGTTTTCTCCAGTCGTCCATTGATCTACAGAAGCCTTGAGGATAAGCTCTCCAATCTGGCCACTTCCGTGTGCATATATTAGTTCAGCTGTTGTTGTGGAGCCAGGTACACTGGTCGCTCGTTGCGTATCCTATCCAAAAAGGGTTCAAGAACACCATCCCGCATGACTAAAGAAAAGGCAATAGTGGTTGTTCAAGGAGTGCGATATTCGAACATGTCGTCAACACTGGACATTCCATCTCAACAAACGCCTCCTTCAAAGTGATCTATAAAGTGAAGAACAACCTACCAAAGGTAATACGCTTTCATCTCCTTTGAATTGCTGAAGACTTAGCCAGTCAGTTGGAAAACCCAGAGTTATGTATACAAAAGAAAATCATCCATCCAACCACTTCTAGCATCACGATAACAACCGTGTTGACTTTTACTGACCTGATGTTTGCATGCTTATTTTTTTTCTAACTCCATTTGTCATTTTTAGAACTCTTACGTAGTTCCATATTCTCCTTTGTTTCTATGTGCATCCCAATCACAATTCATTCATTAAGCTATTCATCTTGTTACGTAGCTGTATTACGCTTATTCAACTTCTTTATGATGTATTGATTAAGAGTATTAACTACGTTTTGACAACACATCACCACTACACTCTTACCAATTATCACCCCCACCCTAGTTACACTTTGAGCATTCATCACATTTTTCAAAATGTCTTCACAACAATAACCCAAACTTATTATATTCTTATCGGACAAAGGTGATGTACAAACAAACAAAAAATTAGTACATATAATTGCGATTGCACAGCTAATTGAATGAATTCGCCAAAAAGAGATTCTTCACTGAAAACGAATTGTCTTCAATCTCCATTCTTTTTCCTCGTGTTCTAACATTTACAAATTTATTAATGCAAAAGCCAAGAGTAGAACAAAGCTATACCAGAATTTCTATTGTGTTACAAGCAAAAGATGGAATAATGACCAGTTAACTTGATTATTTATTTAAAAATACACAGAATGTAAGGTGAAAAAGCTGACTGACTGACTGACGGACGGACAATTTGACCAAGCTCGATTATCCAGTATATTTTTTTTTGGCTTTTCACCGGAAATCTGTTGTTCTCAATATATGTGGAACAAAATCCAAATTTTCAACACTAATATCAGGTTGATCAGCGCTTTTATATTTGTTTAGAGACATGGCACGCACGTCACCAACCATTTCCAACAGGTTACGGCAGATTTTCACCAACAGCTGTCTTCACTAGCTCTATACTGAAGATCAGATGGCTAACCACAAGTGATTAGCAATAAGGAACTCTAAGGTGGAACGAACCCACCAAGAACCTCTTCATCAAAAATAATGCCCAAGGAAACAGAGATGGATTGGACATAAGCTAAGATAACCGTTGAGTGACATCATGCATCAGCTATTTAAGTAGAACCCGAAGGGGGAACGACGAATTGGGAGTTGGTACGAGGCTGATATGGAAGAGGACATGAAACCTTATATACGACTATGGAAGTCAGTTAAAGAAAGATTGCTGCTGAAGCTGTATGTTCCACTCGGAATCCAAAGGAACAATAATAACGATAATAATTCGCAATTCTGGTTAACAACCTCACCTAGATTACTAGCTCAGCTAGTTTTCTAGCCGGTCCCAAGCCGGGATAAAGAGGAAGGGTTGGGGCAAATCATGTCCTGACTAAATTGCAACTCTACGCATCATCATCACAGAACAAAGCATGGAATGGCAATGAAACCCCTACCTCAACTTTATAGACTTTGAGAAGGCCTTCGACAGCGTTGACCGTGAAGTAATTTGGAAATTACTCGAGTACTACGGCCTACCCCAAATATTCATCAACCTAATTCAACAGCTGTACGACAACGGCGGCACATGTCAAGTGATCCACAACGGAAAACTCATCAAGGCGTTTGGAGTAAACACAGGAGTCAGACAAGGGTGCTTACTACCACCAATGATATTCCTAATTGTGGTGGACTGACTGGATTATGCATCAGACAGTGGGAAACGAGTAGCAGATAGGGATATCCTGGACCGACGTGAAGAACCGAGAAGACCTGGATTTCGCGCGTGGATGATTTATGTTTGATGTCACACAAAATCAAAGACTGACAAGCGAAAACCGACAAACTGGTCGAAGAAGCAGCCGGCGAAGACAGGACTCCATGTGAACATAGACAAGACGGAGGTTATAAGAATAACCAACCAACACCAACAACAACATCCAGCGCCAATCACCATCAACGGGAGGGATTTGAAAGAGGTCACTTCATTCACTTCACTTATCTAGGGAGCATTGTCTCAACTGCAGTCGGAACGGACGAGGATGTCAAATCGAGCAAGAATCGGGAAGGCGAGAAACACACTCACTCATCAACCTGAAACCAATCTCGAAATCTTCGTCACTCACCATCAACAACAAAATCCGGTCGGATTTTCAATGCAAACGTCAAGTCAGTCAATTCTTCTATACGGAACGGATCAGAAACTTGGCGGGCGGGTCACAAAGAATATTTCCAACAATCTGTTGCAGACGTTCATCAACCAACAAATGTCTTCGCTGGCTCTATACTGAAGATCAGATGACCGGGCCGGAAGGAATCACCAACAAGAAACTATGGCTGAGAACAAACAAAACAAGAACCAATCGCCAACCAACAAATATGCAGGAGAAAGTGGAGATGGATCGGACACTCGCTGAGGAGGCCGCTGCGTGACATGACGCACGCGTCAGGCGATTGCTCGAGTGGAACCCGAAAGGGAAGCGGCGAGTGGGACGTCAGTGCAAGGGTGACATGGAGGAGATCGTGTGAAGAGGAGTTGAAACAGTGTAGGCTAACATGGATGCAGGTGAAACGTACAGCAGAAGACAGAAGCAAGTGGAGACTTGCAGTTGCAGCGTTATGTTCCACTAGGAAGACAAGGGAACAATAATAGTAATAATATAATAGAGGAACGGATAAAGATGTCACAGCTGGCCAGCCAGAATCAGAAAGGCAAGTTACATCTTCATCAATGAGAAATCAGCTTGAAAGGCTTCTGCACTCAACAGAATAAACAACAAGATTCGGATTTCCAACACAAACGTTTAGTCAGTCAGCTCTTCTGTATGGGTCAGTAACTTGACTTGGACACCATGAAACGAATTTCCAACAGGCCACTGCAGACAGTTGTCCACTTCACTGGCTCCATATTGAAAAACAAGTGGTCAAAAGTAATTAGCAACAAGAAACTCTAGGAACGAACCAATCAAGGGCCATCTGTTCAACGAATTTCTCGAAGAAAGTGAAGATTGATCGAACATATGCTTCGGAGACCATCCAATAACACCGCACGCCCAGTCATCGCTTTAAGGGGACCCGAATGGGAAGAGATGAGTGGGTTATCGTTGCAGGTGGAGACGTGCAGTTGAAGCCCTATGTTTCACTACGAACCCAAGGGAACAATAATAATAATTCTGGTTAACTAACATACTTAAACCCGATGACTTTTTTTTATTAATCCTTAACACTGTATTAATTTGTTAATGTAATTATATTACTCAGCTAAATGCATTTAGCAGTTCAATCAAAAGACCATGATGTCGGTAACACGAAGTCTGTGATTCAGCGGTAGATTACTTTCTAAACCAAATGGCACACTTTTAAACCTCACCTAACTGGTGGCAAGCTCGAAAAAGGGGAGAAGTTGGACTTGAGGCTAGCAATCTCACACCGTAAAAGAAAACACCACAGCTACTGAAACCGTATATGTTCCACTCAGAGAGCAATGAATGACAAAAAACACGAAGTCTGTGCTATTTGAATCTGTTCATGATACACAGCTTTTACTTATTACACCTTCAATCAATACATCATTAGTTTAAGGTGACACTATCTTCATTCGTAGCATTCACATCAGTAAACCGACTAATTAAAATGTTTTCGTTATAACACTTTTTGTACGCCTCAGTGCAAAAGAGTTCCATGTTTACTCACATTCAATAGAAGACGTATACAGAATATGATGAAAACGCAAGTCACAACGGAAATACACATTATTTAATTTAATTTAGATTTTTCCCGTTGATTGATTGAACTGAAGTGCTCGGTCTTAGGTTGGCATATCGGTCTTTGTCTGGTCGTGTACCTTGAGATCAAATCGTAAATGGTGATTAGCAACGGAATCCGGAATCCGGGGATGCGCATTTCGGCCTATTTGGGGCTCGTGAACTGGATGTATCTGGATTCCCCAATGAGTGATGGTGTTCCCACCGGAGCTCGAACACAGTGCCTATAGGTATCAAAGACCAAGGCGTTATCCAATAGACCACTCGAGCAACGACAGCCCCCTCGTGTGTAGCGCTTCTTACTAATTATTTCATTCAATTTATATTTTCCCATTGATTAACAAACACAATGAAAATACACAGTGACTATTAAACATAAGACGTGTCAGATCAAAGCATTAGGGGAAATGCTCACATATATCAGCTAAAATAATATCTAATTATGTAGTCTATTTTTAAATGATTTTAGGATTGAAAATGGAAAGAAGGACTCCAAAAGCATACCTCTGCTTTGTCCTGTTCCCTCCAGTCCACTTTAGCTTCCCCACGACTGCACATAGTGCATCGGTGGCATAGTGGTAGAATACTCGCCAACTACCCCCCATGTGGTCCGGGGTCCGAACTCCGACCGGCGCACTCCTTTACCTCGCTAAGCCAATAACAAAACTGGTAAAGAGGGAGGGTTGGGCAGGAGGCTAGCAATCCCATTCTGAAAAAATAAATGCCGTTACTACTGAGACTTCAAAGCACTAGCTTGAAGCCTTATGTTCCACTGGGAACCTGAAGGAATAAGAAAAACGATTGCACATAGACAATCACTTCCTCCCTAAATGTTCTCTTCTACTTGAGGACCTGAAACGCGTTGCCAATAAACGGCTTCTTCAGCATACGTCCAATCCATCTCACTTTGCTTCTACATATTTGCAGGAGGAAAGGTTCTCAGTTCGTTCGTTCCCAGAATTCCTTGTTGCTGGGATGAAGAAAGCTGTTCATGAAAGTATGCAACAAGTTAGAAGCGCTCTTCGTAACGCCAGAGCCAAGTTCCTGAACCACTTAGAAGAACACAATGACTTAACATTGGTATTGAAAATCCGAATTTCGGTGTTGATGCCAAGTGTAGAAGATGGATTTCATAGTGATGAATGTCCGTCTAGCCCACTCGATCCTGGCTGGTTTCCTGTGATTTTTCCAGTTTATTTGACATTAAACATAGGTCGTCTGCAAAGTTCGAATCTTCTATCAGTCCGACGTATTTCTATCTTCTCAATCTCCATGTATGGAGTGCCACGTATTTCCAGTTCGCCATAATCAGGAATATTATCGGTGATAGACTGACAGCTTTGTCTTACACCACTCCGTCTTCACTTCAAAAGCTTCGCTGAGTTTTCCTTTGTGGAACACTCGATACATTGCCCTTAAATATAATGAACTAAGCTAAGCAAGATATTTTCCAGTTATTTATTGCTAAATCGTTTGTCAAGTCTCTGAACTATATAGAAACATTGACATTAGTTCATTATCTGACTCGTTAAATCTATATATATATATATATATATATATATATATATAATGCTGAGGAGTGCTAGGCTAGAACGAAACAACTAGACAGTACACCCTAGCTGCCAAAGATTATCTAACTGTCATCAGTTCATGCTCTGACTTGAAATCGATCAAATCCCTGCGAACTAACACTTGAATAAACTTAAAATAAATAAATACTAGAGATATTGATTTATTTGCAATAGAAAGAAACACTACCAAACGTCTTATCAAAAATATTTCTATGCAAAAGTATATACAGATGCGACACTAATAAGAGTATGAAAATAATATAAACAAAAACTTACAATTTCTAACAGCTGAAAGCAATCTGTCTAATCCAATCAGGGTGTAATGCCATAATTCAGGCAACTGATGATTAGCCAAATATGAACAGCTAGATAAATGCTGACAGCCTGTATGCAGACGTACAATCATAGGCGATTTATTACTATTATCATCACCATCATCAGACGCAGTGTCAATATCCTGTTGACTATTTGAGACAGATGATGCTGAGGTAGACTCATCTGCTTTGAAAAGCTTTAAAAAACGTTTACCAGACGACGCTGCACAACAAGAGGATAAAGTATAAAAAGATTTATACTATAAAAACATGGGAAAAAAATTACATGTCTCATAAATAGTTGACTTCAAAAAACCATTGAAAACTAACAGAGAGTACTGGATAGTTGCTTCATCCCATATTGGGACTCTTCAGCCAGGTGTAGCCATCAGTCCTGTCTCTGTATGTCTGGATTCAACAAAGAACTTGGCACCGAAGTGCAGCACTTCGAGTTGCCACGTTCCAAATAGCAAACAGAGGTAGACAAGAAGATGAGTGAAGAGAATCAACAGAGTTTGACAAGTATAAGAGTAAAACAGAATGGGTAATGGTAGAAAGGAATATGAAAGATTACAGAGACTGAATACATCTGCGCTGGCCATTGACAACGATTTTGAGCCATGTCACCTATTGTCTCCAGCCATTGATTCCTTGAGTCCCGAGGGCCCCAACCCAGAAGTCTGCATCTCCCTACCTGACTCAGTTTAACTGTCAAGGATTTCATGGATTGATGCCATGTTTTTGTTTGGCCACCACTGGCTCTTTTCCAACCTGCACCTATATCAGCTAGTAATGCCCGTCGGGGAAGGCGAGGTGATGGTTAGGCATGCGCAGCACGTGACCTAGCCATCTCAATCTATGTAACTCTATAGCCTCGTCGATTGATTTTCCCTCCTTTCTCAACACTCTACGCCTAACGTCAACATTACTTACCTTATTAAACCACCTGACGTGAGAAAGAGATCGCAGACATCTATGACCGAAAGCAGTCAACCTTTACATGTCTTCAACTCGTATTGGCCACGTTCCAGAGTCATAGAGAAGGACGGAGCGAACTGATGAGCAGTACACACGTCCCTTGGTTGATAACCGGATGTCACGCCTACGCCAGAGATGGTGTAAGTTAGCGAAAGCAGCTCGAGCTTTTCGGATCCGTACTGAGATTTCATCGTCAATCAGTCCGTTGGTGCTAATACAACTTCCCAAATGGGTGAAAGTGGTCAACATGTTCTATCACTTCACTCCCTATCACTAAGCTAGGAGTTGACGTAGTCCAGTCCTCTAGCAGCATCTTACATTTTGGAGGGGCGAATCGCATGCCAACCATACAAAGATTGCTGCTCAAGGTGTTCAGAAGACTCTGCATTTTGTCACCATCCTCCACTAACAGGACTATGTCATCTGCATATTCTAAGTCCTTAAGACTATTCCCTGGTAACAAGTCGATTCCTAAGTCATTACGTCTAGTTAAGGATACTTCCATTAGCATATCTATGATGAAGTTAAACAGAAATGGGGAAAGTGGAGATCCCTGTCGGACACCACTGGTTGTTATCAATTCAGATAACAATTCCCAATAAGCCCTTACACGACTACGTGAGTTTGAATAAAGTGCCTTGATTAGTGCAATGTACTTTCTTGGATCTCCCTTCATAGTCAAACATTGCCATAGTGGTTTTTCGATCCACGGAATCGAAGGCCGCCTTCAAGTCAAGAAATATGGCAATTGTTGCACGCCAAAAAGTGTGTGTCTATGCTCTAGAATCTGTCGGAGAGTGAAGATATGATCTTGGAACACCCTCTACCTGGTCTAAAGTCTGCTTGATTTTCCCTCATCAGCCCATCAGGGATCGAACCCAGGACCTCAATATAACAAAACGATCTCGATAACCATTCCAACCCCTGCGATGGAATTCAAATTCCAATGATTTTCTGACTGAATTCAATTCCTGATCACACTTGAAATCGATTAAAATCCTCTCAAAACAAAACTTGAAAATACAAAAAAGGTTAATCAGTGTAGAAATACAGATTAAAGGATAAATACTGCAATATTAAGAACAATGTGGTTTGAAGAGAAAAAAAACATTCAGAGGAAATAACAGGAAGAAAACAAATAAAAGGTTTGTTTTCACAAAAAGAGGTAGTAATTATCTTGCTATATTGAGAAACATAATTACAGAGTTTTATGATACACAAATTAAGACGGACAGAAAACAAGAGAATAGTAAAACAACAATGATAATTATAACGGTAGTAATTAGCAAAACAATACTACATGAATCTATGTGGAATCATAATACATCAGGGTGAACATATTCTATTCCGTCACTACAGAAACTTGTAAAGGAAACCTTATTATAAACTGAAACATTCGAAAGACATTACCTTATTTTAGTCGACAGTTCTATTCTACACTGAGATGATTTAGAACAGTTTAAACTTTCCAATGAATACCAAAAATAAGTTCCCACACCAAACAGGTGTAACTGGCACCCCTGTTCCTACAGGACTAAAACTAACAGTCAACAACTTGGTGAATCGATAACATTATAACAACAGAAGACAAGAGCCAGGCAACAGATCGTTTATTAAGGAAATCAACACATTTTATTTATAGATTTTCATGTACATTATGATAGATTATTTTTAGCAGACAAACAAAGTCTTCTGATTGGTGGTTTCTCGCTGAAAGTTAATCTTTCATTTCTTGGTGGCTGTTTCTTGAATGTCAGATCAACTATATGCTAACTGTATCCGCCTACGCAAAGTCTGCTGTGGTTGTTTGTTGAATTAGTCAATGTTCTCATTTTTCTCACGATCAATATTCGGGGTGTAAACATTGACGTAAATTACTGTCTATCAATTTGGCTAGCAGCCAGCTGTCACCACACCATGTTTTGACTTGACCCCACCTCCTGACTCTTTTCAAACTTAACTGTATATCAGCTAAAATTATTAAGTGAACGAGTTAATGGCTTAGCAGGAGTAACACATTTCTTAACTATCTCAAGTGATGCAGCCTGATATCCTTGTCGACTGATTTGCTTTGATTACCTAACACACTACGTTTAAACACACTATTTTTTTATTTTTGATTTACAGCTTGATTCCACACTGTATTTTTGGTACAAGTATGGAATTTTCAGCATGGATATCGGTAGCCCAAATTTCGCAGGCTGACCATAGATATCAGGTGTGCGTCGGCAGGGGATCAACCCCCGGACCATGCACATGGTCGGCGCACCCGACATGACAGATAGAATGCAAACCCTTACAGTGGAAGAGATTTAGTCGAGGAGGACTACTACTACTACTACACAGTATACACGCTCTTAAATTCACAAATTCGCACAAAAAGTGAACGTACAAAATTTATTTACAGCCTGAGGTGACTGTGTAGTACAACAATTGAACAGATTGTTAACAAAATCTTCCACACCGGAACTAAAGCCAACAGCTAAGTTATGAAATAATTCAGCACTGGAAATTCGTTTGCTTAAATCTTTCGGTATATGAACTGCACTAAACGGTAGCTGGATTGTACGATTCGCTTTATTTACTATTGGATAACTTGAATTGTTCGACTCTAACAAGATAACCAAATGTGGTTGAAAATGATGCATTATTTGTTGGAAATTTGAATTGTCGAAAATACCACCATCCTAAAATATGATAAGCAAAAAAAAGAAAATGACATGATCAGGATCGCACTGAGGAGTTAGATAAAACAGAAATAAAATATTCAAATGAGGGGGGGGATACAGATACACAGAAAGTGAGACCAATCACACACACACACACATACAAAAGCCCAAACAAAGTAAAGTACCAAAGTTAATTCATACTTGACTACTCTGTCAAAATTCTCTTATATAATTCTACCCCCAGAAAGAACTTAAACTAACATAATCCAAATGGCTGAAGTGAAGTTAAATGCTTGAGTTAATTAAAACACAGTTACCTGCATCAGACTGTACGTATAACAGGTTGTCAGTAGCACTATTTAGTTTGAAGACTGACGATACCATCCAACCGAAGGGATTGGAGCATTTGGAGAGAAGTTTGAACCTTGAAAAGCTGAGTGCTGAAGTTAATCAAGGTACACATTTTCACACACACACACCTAAAAAACAGTATCTCATTATACACTGGAAAATATATATGTAGTCTTCTTCTCTGAGCCGACTGTGGTTTGACTGTGAAGCTTGTATTGTCCTCCTAGACAATAACCTCAGATACAAAACAACATCAATTTCCACTAGCTGGCTCAGTGTTGCAACATAGAACTTTGCAAAGAAACGCACCAGTTCGAGTTCCCATAATCCGTGAGCTTTTAATGGATATAGAAGACCACAAAAAGTGAATGCATCTGTGCCACTGAGAACGATTTTGAGCAATATCACTAACAATTTCAAGTCGCTGGATCTAAACAAAAAAGCGAATGTGGCGTTCAAAGATAAGAATATCTAAAACCTCAGAAGGTGCATTCTCCGCTGCTACACCACGACTGGTATTCTCATGCGACCCCTTGTTCTTCAGTAACTCTGAAGACAAACTATCGCATCTGATCACTTCTATGTGTATCCACCAGCTGCTCCGGTGGAACAAGATAAATGGATCGCGCGATGCGAATTTTATCTAAAAGAGTTGAAGAACAATATTCTGTTTGCCTACGAAAAGGTAACAGTGGATCAATAAGGAGTGCTATAATTATGAACATGCACTGATCAGCACTGATCTCTCAATATGTTAGGGAAATTCATTTAAAGTCATCTAAAAAGTCAAAGAGCCTCCCTAAAACGGAAAGCTTAAGCATACATTGCATTGTCGACGCCTTAGCGATCCCGATGGAAAACCCAGATTTATGTACACAGAAGAAACTTTTCCACCGCCTCCTTCTACCTTGGGTATAATTCCAAGCTCCATTGCTTTGTTAATAAGGGTTTTTTGAATGTTTGCGTGACCTCTTAGCAACATATTTTTCCTAACCAACCCTTTATTTACTCTTTCTATATATTACATAATTTATTTTAGAAACGTGTCTCCATGGTCTTTCACCAACAGTCTATTTTGATGAGTTTCTTTAATATTACACAGCCGTTGCCAATACTTACCAATCTCCACCCTCCTAGTAACATTTGGAGCATTCATCACATTTTTGAAACATTTTGGTGACGTAAAAATTAACCCCAACTAATTTTTATTTTTGTTTGACATTCCTAATGTACACACCCACATACAAAATCATTATATGTAATTGCGATTGTACAGCTAGGTGAATGAATTCGTCGAAAAGGAACTCTTCGCTTAACTTTTTGTTCTGATATTCATGTCTGGATGAGTATTTTACCGTGAATTAAAAATCCTTTTGAACCGGAGTCAGAATTTGTCTAACCCTATGTCAGCTAATATTGTGTGTCGAATCAACCTTATTCGTGTTTCTTGTTTCTATACACGTTGATATCCTAAGTGACAGCTGAAAATACATTCTAAAAATGACTTGATTGATGCATTTTATTTCTAAGCAAGTATGTCTGCTTATTTTTTTCTGAAGGAATAATCAATACACACACACTTAAAGGAAACCTGCAATTCAGTAAACAACAATAGTAACAAAACAACATCGCGTATGCTAGGCTTAGATAGTAAATTGTTCATAGCACAAAATGAAAGTCAACCGCAATATTAATGTACTGACTTCTTGTATAGTTTGGTTTGTAAGGGTTAGTTTTGTTTTTACGAGTTAAAGAACCATTGAAAACCAGCATGGAGTTCTGCCAGACAGCTGTTTCATCCTAGTTTGCGAATCATCAGCAGTTGGCACCCACTGCACTGGGTTTTGAACCCAGGACCTTCCAGTTACAAGGCAAGCTCATATACTATTCAGCCACAGGGATCCGACTCAATGGCCAATGAATTTTGACTTCTACAAATTCGTGAGTTTAGTGGCACCACCAAACTTACAAATCAACCCTCGAAAATTCATATAATGCTCACTAGTGACTTACTACAGAACGTAGCTTTCTGAAGTACTAGTGAGAAGTCGTGACCAGTGAGGTCAATCCAATCGCGAGCGAGGATGGATTTCCCACCGATGATATTGTTTGGTGATCACGCTAAAATCACGAATTGGTAGAAGTTAGATTTCATGGGCCATTGAGTCGGATCCCACTGGCTGCATAGTATACGAGCTTGCCTCATAATTGGAAGGTCCTGAGTTCGAAACCCAGTGGTTCCCTACTGCCGATGATTCCCAAACTAGGATGAAACAGCAGCTGTCCAGTGCTCGCTAGTTTTCAATGGTTCCCTAATTGATATCAATCCGTGATCAAAAACGAAAAAACAAATCTACACCTTACAGATCAACTCTTGAAAACTTGCAATTAACATAGTTCAATAAGGTGAAATTTCAGCACGGTTTCTTGTAGAAACCGAAAATTATTGATGCCACAATATTTAATCTGCTCGATACTGTACAATAGATAGCAATCAAGAAAGCAAGCATAAAGGCATCACACAATGTCCTCCTACTGATAGATTGATAAGAGTAATTCCGTAGAACTTACATTACAACCGACAGTGCCCGCTAGTTAGGTAGACGTCATCTGAACACCGGATAATCAACTGGTTCGTTTAGAGACGAGCTGATCAAAAGAGTATCAGTGTTTGACTTATCTCAGAACCTCACAATTGGTTGATACGAGTGGTACCGGGCTACTTACATAAATTAATCAGTAGTTTGCACCGCAAAGCAATTTTTTCTTTTTATTGATGCTACAACTTTTGCTTGAAATGTATTACAATTTAAACGACAAGCATCATTCTTATCGCCTTATTTTGAAAATCGATTTCAAGAAAGAACTAGTGAAAACAGATGTAGGTCAAGACGAAAAAATTATAACATTCATTATCATGACAAAGATCGCTGCGCACACCAAGCCACCTCCTTCTAAGCCGACATCAGATCAGGTTGGTCACAACAAAACCTTAAATCAGTTCGTGAAAACTTTGACTGATGGTTTCAGCGACCTAGAGGGAGTCTAGAGTGTTTGGTTAGAGTCCCCGAGATGCTAGTAAGTAATATGTGGGGACTGTTTGTGATATGGCTCAAAACAGTTCCCAGATTCATTAAACTCTCATCTTCCATCACAGTTCTTTCGAATCTATTTTTCTCTACAATTTTGTGTGCTGCACGGAGCGTTGCATCTTTAACTGCTGCACTTCTGTGCAAAGTTCTATTCTAAAATATGGTCAGTCAGTCAGTCAAAAATCATTCAGGCAACCCATGACTCCATGACCCGTAAAACACTAATCTAAACCTAGTCACAAGAACAAGCGATAAAGTGTAAATCATGCGGCAAATTTTTGAAATGTAATCATCAGAAGGGAAGAAAGAGGTAAACTGTCATCATCTTACACCAGACGACTGATTTGACATCACTGGAACATAACAGCATTGCATACATACAGCATTCAACATGCACATTAAACTACAAACTCAAATATGCATCATCACAGGCGCATACGCGAACACACAGTGGCATAGACCTACAATATAAAATCAGGCTAACGCAATAACAGTAGTGACATAAGTGCATCACGCTGAAGAGACTTATTTTCACTCCCTGTATCGTAGACACATCTGATACCAGAAAAGATGAATATCATTAACACCTAGTAAAAAGTAGTTAGGAAAATAAGCAGTCAGTGAAGAAAGCATATCATGAATTCGTAGAAGCATAGACCAACATGAGAGTTAATCAGAGAAGCAGGTAGATAATGCAATCACATATGTTTTATAGAACATAATATCAAACTTACATAATTTGCACAAAATTTTATATCTCTTTGCGGGACATTCCTCATAAAATCAAAAGGGGAAGTGTGGACATCTAATGCTTACAACAGAACTGGTGAACAACTAGTTCTGTCCAGTAGGCTTGGAAAAACTTTATTCTACACTTCAGGGGGACACTGACTTTAGAATCCAAAAGAACCGAATGGTATAGGAGCCGTTTTCTTTCAGTAGAAACCATGAGAAGGTAGCTCCTGACGCTGCCCCAATGCTTTGTGAATCAGGCTTCAGGTTAAAGGCTCGACGACTGATCCTGTAAAAAAAACCACCTGCTTCTATTCGGGCGTTCAGGGAGAACCTCATCCTTTGCACACACTATGAGTTTTTGTGTGGCACATCTCCTGGTGCCCATAAACGTACCAAACTTATGTTTTAATAAATAATAATCATTTGTTCGTCCTGTTATTTCGAAACTCTTCAGTCTAGCGCGCACTTTTTAGGGTGAAGTTTCAACAAACCAACAAACATCCTTTAAAAAATAAGATCTGAAAAACGGTTCATCGCATTTCAAGAACTATCCGACAGTAGTATACTATCAACTTGATGAAGAACAGTAATCACTGAAATTACGAAACGAGTGTATGAATATGTATCGATAAATGGTGATGCTCATCGATGTAGGCACTCTCTACTTCCAAAAAACTGAATTATGAGTCCACCCACTAAGCTTTGCGCACCCACGCAGTATCATTGTGAACTCTATCTATGTAAGCGAAAATACCCAATGAATTAAATATTGAGTGCTATCGATATACTCCAATGAGTCACAACTTCCCATCAAAAATCCTACATGAATATTATGTCAACACATAGAGACAAACAACCACAAGGCCAGTAGGAATCTCTACTACTTAGGACATATAGAAAGCTCTAATGACACGGTCATTACACAATCAAACACGTGTACAACTTCACTTTTACAGTAAAACAATTCCAACTAACACGTAAATTTCTCAAGAAAGTTCATAAATTAATGGTTTGGAGAAAGAATATTGGCACCAGGTAAATGCTACTACACATTTCTCTACTGAAAACGTATGATTGACATCAGGGAAAACAATCTTGTTTTCTTTTCCATTCATTAGGAAAATCAAATTTCTAATGATGACGACAGAAAATTCAATTTATAACTTTCCCCTTAGTGAAGTGGAACATAGGGGGGGGGCTACGACCTTTCAAGTTTCAATAGCGATGGTGTTGTCCACATGTCTAACCTCTTTTTTCTAGGCTTGTTACTGGTCAGTAAACTAAAATAGGCAAAGTTTAGGAGTGTGCAGGCCAGGAATCAAATCCTACTGAACCTCCTAAGTGGCTGGCTAGCTAGCTAGCATCATCAGTACGACAACATAACAAACATACAGTTGTAAAAAAAGGGCGTTAGAACTAATATGTCCATTTGTTCATGACAATAAATATTTAACACCACACGCTATATACTGGTAAAAAACTCAAAAACAAAATAAAAAGAGAAAAAGATGCAATTGAACAAATTCACCAACTCACATTATGATCAGCTGATGTTGATCCACACGTTCTTTGACTATTATCAACACTGTTCTTTTTTGCAATAGATAAAGATTTATGAATACCAACAGGATCCAGATATGGAAATATTAACAACTGGCTTGTTGCTAATAGACGCCAAATTTCTGAACTTGAAGAATCTAAGGCTAAAAGGACAAAACAAAAAAGTCCAGTCAAGGGTTAAATACATAAGCATATGTATTGAGTACAGAAAAAAAGAAATGAATTTAACTAAAACACAAAGTTATTTTAATTAATGGAAAGACCAGCGGCATAATCTGTAACAGGATAATTCTTTGGAAAATCTCTCCCGAACAATCTTACTACAAATATTTATACTACTTATTTGAATGTTTCAAATAAATTTTGTGATTATTATCTTCTTTTCTCCTAGTCTGTATATCACTATTCTCACATTTGCATATTATGAGTTGACTTGATCATAACCTGTGTTAATTTCTCAGTTTAATGCTTCTCTTTGTGATTGTGTCCGTAACATTGATAATGCGTTGTTTACCGATGTGATTCTGTTTGAGTTAATCAAGGTCATTCGGACATTGGACTATCCTTCGAGAGTTATTGATGTGATTTTTGTGTGTAGAGAGCTTTTGATCCTACCTTGCTGTAAGTGTTCTACTTGATTCTAAGGTATCTCTTACGGTTGAATTTCGGTGAACAGATTTTGTTCTGCAGCGCTTGAGTTGTACTAGGAAATTATGTAGCCTGTACAGCGGTCTAATGGCACTGTTGAGGCTATGTCGAGTTCTTGATGTTATTATTATTTATTATTGAATAAAACCATATATAGATCTTATGAGAAATAACCATATTTTTCCTGTCTTTCCAGTGTTTTGTTACTGCGAGTGTCTCAAGGAAGTTTTGTCAGATACACAGTAGAATGCAGAAATCGGTTTTCTGCCTTCCTTCCTTCCTTCGTTACAGAATCCAGGACATACATTTCATCTCGTTTTGGATTCGTCAGCCGGGTGTACTTGCTTTCTACTAAGTGAGTGATGGTGTTCCCATCGAAGCTTGAACCGTGAACCTATCGTTTCAAACTCCAAAGCATTATCCATCACGTCAACCAAACTAACTTCACACTAATCTTAAGACATCATCAAAGCGTTTGTACTAGGAGTCGATATGTCACAACAGAGAAATAGAGTATTTCTATCCAACATAATCAATCAGTGGGAAATAAAAATTAATCGTAAAACACAAATAATAACAGAAAAACACTGGAAGGTTATCCAACACAGAAGTTATAAGCTATATCTTCTTCAACACACAACCAATCTTCCGGTAACATTTTACAATATGAATCAGTAATCAATTACCCGGAACAGATTTCCCCATGTAACAGGTTGAGTTATACATATTATGTGTAAGGACCGATAATCCTATGCAGTTGCCGCATGCTCATTTACGTGGGATAAGACTCGAACTTGGGACCCATTGGTTGTAAGTCGAATGCTTAAACCAATGAGCAGCACGAATAAAAAGAAACAGAGTATTGGACTAATTTAGTAATAGATTTCATCAAAAATTATGCACACATCAACTAGTAAGTTCATGAAGGCTTTGAAGAGGAGAAGCTTTCTAAGATATGACCTAGCCCACCTTCAACAGTGTTGACCGTGAAGTAACTTGGAAGCCACCTTGACCGACACTCGAAACAGTTGAAAAGAAACTAGTTTTTGGACTTCATCATGGAGCTGACATTAGTTAGAAGACATCAGTTGGCGGTCGCGCTATGTCGTGAATTGGCAAAAGTTAGAATTCAAGGACCATTGGATCGGGTCCCAGTAGCTTAATGGTATACGAGCTCGCTGGCCTTGTAACCGAAAGGTCCTGGATTCGAATCCCGACAGGTGCATAGTGCTGAAGAGTTCCAAACTGGACGGAGGAAACAGCTGTCCAGTACTCCCAGGTTTTCCAATGGTTCTCTAACCAATGTCAGCTCATGATGAAATCCTGAAACCAATCAAATCCCTACAAACCAACACTTGAAAACTAGTTTTTATCTCATAATAGATAAGTTCATTTTAAATATTACACAACAATGCAGTATTAACAACCGCATGACGTTTCGAGCCTAAATATTGCTCATAATTATATCAATTTTAGTCACACCTTTTCACTATATGTATATATATATATAATTCCCCCTCTCTCTCTCCAACTTCTCCATGTTATTCGTTGACACGTTTCATATCTCCTCATACGCATTGCGTCATTCCGATTACACATGTGCGATATTGAATCGATAAACAAAGCTTCAGTGATTAAACTCTCTCTATCTCTCCATCTAAATGTATCATTTTTTAATACTCTCCTCCTGTCCCACCCTATCGCTGTGTGATTACATGCAAATGAATGCAGTCAAATCGCTGAGCTTTTTTCTAAGTTATTTAACTTAGCAGGGTCAATTATTGTAGGTCTAGCTAAACTTTCATATTCCAATAATTTACTTAGCCTCGATCTACCTATGTAATTGACCTCACTCACAGTCACTACATGGCATTTGTTAAACTATACTATATTTCTTAATTGGATCTATAAAGTCATTAAGCTGACAAAGTTTTTTTTCTAACCTCATTGAGAATCCTGAGTAGAAGAGCATCTGATGTTCCTTCTTTAAACAGCAGTACTGCAGAGGCTTTGAATTATATATTATTTTCGTCATTTTGACTGTTAATATTTATTGCTAATGCATGTACGACAAATTGTGAAACCGTATGACTAAACTGATATGATTATGAGCAATAATTTATACTCGAAACGTCATCCAGTTGTTAATACTGCATCACTGTGTGATTATTAGAATAAACTTATCCAATATGGAATTACATTCTACCCCACAGTGCCCAAGTTCTACAATTACGGTTTTTATCTGTCTAGTATACAAAGGAAAAGAAATAATCATAAGAACGGAAAACAGAATTAAAGGTGCATTGAAAAGAATATTTCCCGCTGCCAGAATCATTCCACTTTACAAAACAGTATGCTCCTTAACCCAGTCTAAAGTAGATAAGTATCCTGCTCCGCATATCAACGTCAACTGCATTTACCAAATCACCTGCACTTACGGCAGCAAGTACATAGAAAGGACTGAGAGAAAAGTGTCTACTGGATTCTCTAAACATATCCCTAAAAGTCTCCGTTTGAAAGGTAGCAAAGTGTTCTAAAGCGCAATCACCAGATACTTAATGGCCAAAGCAAATACACTGGAAATTAGTCAAGCTTTCAAAATAATCAATATACAAAGAAAAGTATGGTTACTTCGGTTCGCAGAAGCCATTGCCAATCAAAAGACTTCAGCCCAACCTATGCTTGCAGATAGATAGTGAGAGACTAATCTCTCACTACCCTGGTAACTATAATTGCTTAGTTCGTGTGCTTCTTTCTATGTTTCCTTCTGTTGCATAACATTCCATTCAATCTTCATTTTGATTTTCACTCACTGAGTTGAACTCACTATTCAGGTTCCAAATCTACTAAATGAAATTATTTTATCTATTTTATAATTTTACTTCACTATTCACCCCCACCCACTTTCCTGAACTCTCCACAATAATAAGCATAAATTAACTCCGTTGTCATATCTAGTATTTTATCTCTAGTTCATCCTTGTTTCCAAGTAAAATCTGAATTCCACACCTTTGTCTAATTAGTACATAAATATTTACTTTAACACTAAATAATTGTCTACTTACATCATCTTTGAAATTACGTTGCTTATACTCTCCAAGTATAGCTTGAAATCACTTTAACATGATCACAAATTTTGTAACTTATAATTAATTTATTTAAATTGTATGTAGCTCAGAGATGCGATTGAAGACAGAAGTAAGACCTACTGCCACCGATGATAGTCCTGGTTGTGGCAGACTAGACCATGCAACAGACCATAACGGGTGTGGGCGAGAAGGCAGGAATACGTTAAACTGACAAAAAACTCTAGAAGATCTAGACTACGCGGACAGTTTAGGTTTAATACCAAACAGGAACCAACAAGTTTGCGGGAGAAGCAGCGACAACAGAACTCCAAGTGAACAAAGAGGTGTTGCAGATATCCACCAACCAACAACAACAGCAAGCACCAATCACTATCATAGAAGGAAATTTGAACAGAGTCCCTTAACTGGGCAGTATTATTTCAAATTAAAGGCGGCACAGATAAAAATATCAGAACCAGCTAGGATCGGAAAGGCAAGACAAACCTTCATGAATCTGAAATCGACCTGGAAACCTACTACTACACACCACAAAGCACAAAATTAGACTTTTCAGAGCTAATGTCAAGTCAAGTCATTTCTTGTACATCGTTCAGAGACTCAGTGTGTCCGCAAAAGCATCTCGAATAGGTTTCAGACTTTTATCGACAACTGTCTTCACCCCATACTGAAGATCAGATGGCTTGTCAGAAAGTATCGGAACAAAGAACTCTGAGTACAAATGAACCGAAAAACTATCGCGTAGCAAATATCCCAAAGGAAACTGAGATGAACTGGACACATACTGTATCCGAATCTTGTTGTCTATACTGAATACAGCAAAATTCTCACACACTGATTTCACATTAATAAAGAAGGTCTCTCTAGCTTTCTCGATCCTAACTAGTTTTGACATTCTCATCTGTGCTGCCTGTAGTTGAAATCATGCTGTCTAAATAAGTGAAAGAAGTAACTTCCTTCAAATTTATACCGTTGATGGTGATTGCTGAGATCATTTCATGTTTATTTTTGCTAACACTGACAGAAAATACATCGGTTGATTGACTTCTCGAACCCAACTAACCCACCTGCATCTCTCTGATTTCAGAGAGGAATAACTTTATTTTCTATGCTGTGGAGTTACCACAGCAACTCGATTGATTTTCCCAGGTAAGATCACTTAACCCACACTCAACCCTCCCTCTTTTTTTTACCAGGTTCCAGTCAGGCTAGTAAACTAGGCAAAGTTTTTAATTTATTAAACAAATAGAATGTTAAAACCCTCACTTTCATTCCTCATTGCTCTTTTGATGTATTATTTATACTTATATAGGATTTCAAAACCGATTTACATTAGCCATCTTCGGAAGCATAGCAGTAGAGTGCTCGACAACCACGCCCCATGTGGTCCGGGGTTCGATCCACGGCCATAGACGCACTCCTTCACCTCGCTGAGCCAGTAACAAGACTAGCAAAGAAGGAAGGTTGGGCATGAGGCTAGCAACCCCTCCTGTAAAAAATAATCACCACTGCTACAGAATCTTCAAGGCATTAGCTATGTTCCACTGGGAACGTAAAGGAATTATATATTCTCACGAGTTGATCACGGATTGATATCAGTTAGAGAATCATAGAAAACCAGGTAGTACTGCCAGACAGCTGTTTCATCCTAATTTGGGAATCATCGGAAGTACGCACCCACTGGGATTCGAACCCAGGACCTTCTGGTTACAAGGCCAGCAAGCTCGTATGCCATTCAGCCACTGGGACCCGACCCACTGGCCACTCCATGAATTCTAACTTCTACCAATTCATGATTTAGCGCAACCTCAACCATTATCGTTGGTGGGACATCCATCCACACACGTGACATCTAATTGGACCTCACTGGTCACGACTTCTCACTAGAACTCCAGGAGACTCTATCCTGTAGTAAGTCACTAGCGAGCATCAGATTAATTTTCTATAGTTTTGGTTTGTAAGAAAATTAATCTGATGCTCGCTAGTGACTTACTACAGGATGGAGTCTCCTGGAGTTCTAGTGAGAAGTCGTGACCAGTGAGGTCCAATTAGGTGTCACGAGTGTGGATGGATGTCCCACCAACGATAATGGTTGAGGTTGCGCTAAATCATGAATTGGTAGAAGTTAGAATTCATGGAGTGGCCAGTGGATCGGGTTCCAGTGGCTGAATGGTATACGAGCTTGCTGGCCTTATAACCGGAAGGTCCTGGGTTCGAATCCCAGTGGGTGCGTACTTCCGATGATTCCCAAATTAGGATGAAACAGCTGTCTGGCAGTACTACCTGGTTTTCTATGATTCTCTAACTGATATCAATCCGTGATCAACTCGTAAAAACATAACTAACCCTTACAAACCAAAACTATAGGGAATTATAAATATATATATATATATATATATATATATATATTCTGTATTTGTAACTTTATTACTGAATTGTTTTCATTGTCATAATGGTTTGACTGTTTTTATGCAGACTTGAGTCCACCACTCTTACTTATCTAATAATAGTTATCGTTATTATATTTTATGAACAACATAAACCAATAATATTGACTAAAACTATATATATGGGCATATGTATATTAGAGTTAAGACTGACGGAAACCTAAGGGAAAATAATATTCCTCTCTTATATATTTTATTGTAATTTAAACAATCGCAAATGTACTCAGCCGGTACTATGGAGAGGGAGAGAGAGAGAGGGACTAGCAAATGCAATCAGGCAGATTAGCCGTAGTATTATAGATTATGTCTCTACCTTTATGTCTAGAAAAAAAGGAAAGAACTTTGATTTATTTATTATGCACTTTTGAACATTTCAGTCTATAATTATGGCTACCTTTTTAAACATCTAAAATTAACCACACAACAACAAAAACAACGACAACAATTTACATCGTTTCTAATCGAATCACTGATGTATAGATAAATATATATACATGTGACGCTTTGTATATATTCAAGAAAAGCTAGAATAAGAGTAGAGAAAAACACTGTCTACCTACACTTTTTAACTTTCTCTATAGGAACTTTTTATATGCTCCTCATTTGCTTAGAGATATCTCTCCTCCATGCAATCAAACAAAATCCCTACAAAAAACCAATACTTGAAAATATCTCAAAATCTCTATTACACATTTACAATAATCGTAAATAGACAACAGGAAATATTTCATAACTTGTACTTGGAATCACCGTCTCTTATCTGTTGAAGAATGAATGAAAAAAATTGAAGTAAAGGCTGACACTTATTTTATCTCACTGAAAACCGATAATTTTCTTCCGCTTTTCTTTGGAATAGAAATATAAAACTCGATCTAAAACAATTAGTTCCCTTTATGAATTTAGATAAAGCAATAAGAAGACGTAATTTGTCTGAATCGTGTAATGTATTTGCGCCCACAGCACATTTTAAACAATCTGATCACACACGGACAATTATCCAGACAAGTTCATCAGGAGATATAAAGTAGTCAGTGGAACACCAAGACCCACTCTCCAACTCGCCCCTAAGAAAGACGTGTATATCAAGCTGCCCTATATGGGGCATCAAAGCAGCTTGATAACTAGACAAAGACTGAACGCTGCTGTTAAAAAGACTTTTTATGCAGCTAATATCATAATAATAGAGAATGTAAAGCCATTATATCTATCTAAGCCCTTCGAACATGAGAAAAATGACGTCACATCCCACTGTATTTACCTATTTGAATGTACGTGTGGACACACATACATAGGGAGGACTCATCGATCTCTGCAAGTAAGGGCTGACTTCAGAGCATATTCCTAAATGGCTCCAGAAACAAATGGAATCATCAGAACCTATTAACGGCGAGAATAGGAGACCTAGCTCTTCTATTGCGAAACATATTATAGAGACAGGTCATAAAATTGACGTTTACACATCTTTTAAACCTATCTATAAAACGTGTTTGGGGCGTATCCTAAAGTTTGTAGAATCGTGTGAATAGGAAATGAGAATTTATGGTCGATCACGAAACCAGTTAGAAACAAATGTGAGACAAGATGAAATGGGGAAGTGATGTTGAAACCCTATGTTCCACTCAGAAACTAAGGGAAGAATAATGGTAATAATAAATGCTCACCAGTCACACTAGTAGCCTAGGTTCAATGCCCTACCGATGAACTCCAACAAACTTTACCTAGCCGGTAGTAAGCCCAGAAAAGAGGAAAAGTTTGTAGGGGGTGAGGCTAACAAACCCACCACGTAAAATAACAGCACTTCTATTGAAATTCAAAAAGTTTAATGCTTAAGGCCCTCGTTATGCTCCCCTTGGAATGAGAAGGAATGACAAAAAACTCAGTAAATAGAAGTATTAAACAAACAACGAGAGAGAAAACAATAAATAGGCTTACCTGAATATAAATGACGCAATAAACGCATTGTCATTTCAGTTGAAATCAACTCATCACTATTCAATCCAGCTAAGATAACAATTCGTATTTTATCAAAATGAGGTTGTAAAAGGGCAGCATCATTTTGAGTATGATTGTTAGAATCATAATTAGAATGTAGAGTCTTCACATATCGATAATCAGGAACTGACAAACTGACACCGTATACGGTCGACATTTTCATAATATTTTCATTATTATTATTACTATTATAACTCTCCAAATTATTAAATAACTTAAATTCAAAAAGTCTGAAATACTTTTGAATTAAATGAGATGAAGTTTTAAACAAATTTTTAATTGCTTCTTCATAAGTTGATTCTTTTATAAATTTAGGCAAACGATTCATAGGAATATCATAATCTAATCGGTTGGACCATTGTAAAGTTGATTGATCTTCAGGCCATAAAGTAAAGTTCAATTGTTCACTACTTGTATACGGTATATATGGGAGAAGAGATGCATTCACTGCATATTTAACAGAATCGAAATATCTATGGGTGGAAAAAAAGGGTAACAAAAATTAAAAAAAACGAGCGAACATGTTCAATTTCTATCATTAATCGGGTCAAGAAAGTCTAAACACAACTAGTCTACATCTAAAATCAACGAGCCTCTATGAATGTGACTTCAATTCAAAAGCGATGTGTCAAATGAACCAATAACCAATCACAGTTAAAAAAAACCAATTCAAAGTACTTTTAATACCCATGAACACCTAGTTTATACCTTCCATACAACAGGTTCTGATTCATCGAATGAAAAACAGAGTACCTCGACTAGCCCCCAGTTCCCTACATCTATTTAATTCAAATGATCCTGTGGAGCCAGTTATATTGACTGTTGATCTAGAGACTTAGTGTTTCGTGCTTGAGAACACCTATCAGTGTAGGTAAATAAAGCCGTAGTGAAAACCATCGACAATTCGGTATTAGATCACCTTTTCCAAACAGGTCTTAAAGCCAACCAGCTAAAAAATACTGCATAGAATAGGATGAAATGGAGTTATGTTGTTGAAGCCCGATGGTCCACTCAGAACTCATGGAAATAATGATGGTAATCACTTACAGATGCCCGCCTTCAAACTGCAATCTACTAATGATATTGGTTCCATGTTATTCAACAGAAAACATTATTGTTGTGCCAATATAAATAATTCTTTAATTTAAGTGTTGGTTTGTAAGGATTTGATTTGTTACAGGATTTCATCATGAGCTGATATTGGTTAGAGAACCATTGGAAAACCTGGGAGTACTGGACAACTGTTTCGTCCCAGTTTGAGACTCTTCACAGTACGCGCCTGCCAGGGTTCGAACCCAGGACCTTCTGGTTACAAGGCGAGCTCGTATACCATTAATCTTATGATATTAATGGGTGAGTACTGATGAAGAGTCCCACAATAGGACGAAAAAGCTGTCCAGTACTCCCAGGTTTTCCAATGGTTCTCTAAGAAAATTATGGAGAATATTCTTTGGTCACTCATTAATTTCGATCATTTGAAAATTTCAATGCGCATCTTTAATCAATTATTTTAATACTTTCGAAAATTATGGATGAACTTCCTGCGGTTTGCTTCTTACTTGGCCGAAATATCTATCTTTATTGATATTAAATCAGCTTCTAAGACAGACACGTCTTGAAGATGCCTTTATTGTCACCAACAGATAATGATTGCCAGTGGAATCGGGTTTATGTGTTTCGTTACCTAGACGTGCCCATACTCTAACAAGGTGTGATGTGCCTACTGAGATTAATGAGCCAGTCGCTTGCCCCCCACCCGCCAATGCTCACTGCCGCTTTTACTAATCAGTACGAAAATTGACAGCTCTTTTTGTAAGCCGATCATATTTCACATGAAAGTAACAAGTTGGCTCGTTCTTTTTTAATTATTTCAGTACAGTGAAAGCCTAATTATAATCATTGGGTATATTGACAGATATCTTACTAGCATTACTGGCAGAAAAAAGACACCATATTAGCAAGTTTCAGAAAATAAACAAAAAGCATTGTGTAAGTAGATGGAATTAATAGATTTTGTAAAATCATGGGAACAGAAAGCCAGTATAAAATGATATTCATTACAATAAACACAAAAGATAATTAATATAATAAAAAAAGGAAAGAAAGTAGGAGCACGACAGTATTAGCTTTAGAAGTATTAGTAGTAGTAGTAGTGGTAGTGTGATATATAAATGATTATCTCAACTTCATCGACTTTGAAAAGGCCTTCGACATCGTCGATCGAGAGGTCATTTGGCAACTACTCCTTTCTCTACTACGGGTGCCATCGACAATTATAAATCTCATCCAACAGTTATAGGACAACGCTGCATGCCAAGTAATCCACAACAGGAAACTTATGGAAGTCTTCAAAGTGAGGACGAGGGTGAGGCAAGCTGGCTGTTTACTATCGCTAATCACCTTCCTGACTGCAGCAGATTTGATAATCAGACAGACAACGGGCAATGAGGAAACAGGCATAAGACAGACTCACCCCAAAAACGGCTTGAAGGATCTGAACTTCGCCGATAATATATGTCTGATTTCCCACAAACTGGAAGATATGCAAGTCAAAAGAAACAAGCTGGCAGAAGAAGCATCAAAGATAGCAAGGACTTCAAGTGAACATAGATAAAACAGAGGTGATGAAGATTCCTGGCCAACATCAGCAACAACAACAACAACAGACAACAATCAGCCAGCATAAATGGGAGGAACCTGAAGGAAACAACCTCCTTCACCCACCGACCTGGGAAGCATCGTTTCAACTACAGGCGAATAGAACTGATGAGGATATCAAAACAAGAGTCGGTAGAGCAAGACAAGCCTTCATTACTCTTCAGTCTGTGTGGATCAAAAGTAAAATCCGGATTTTCAACTCCAATGTGAAGTCAGTCACTGCTACTATACGGATCAGAGACTTGCACTGCACGTCATAAAGAGCATCTCAAACAAACTTTACACCTTCATTAACAGTTGTCTTCGCTCAATACTCAAGATCAGATGGCCGGCCGGCCGGCCAGAAAAGATCAGCAACAGGGATCTCTCGCAATGAGCGAACCAACACAACAGGAACCGATTGTGAAACAAATAGGCAGGAAGAAATGGAGATGGATTGGCTGGCCATACTCTGAGGAAACAAACCATCAAGTGACATCACTAGACAAGCCATCGCTCGAGTGGAAGCCGAAAGGGAAGTGGCGAGTTGGTCGTCAGTACAAGGGTGACTTGGAGGAGGTCATGTGAAGAGGAGATGAAGGCATGTGGGCAGACTTGGAGCGGAGTGAAAAAGTTGGCAGAAAACCGAAGGCAATGGAGGCGCGCGGCTGAAGCCGTATGTTCCTCTTGGAATTAAAGGATATTATAATAAATAATAGTAATATAAATGATAAAAAGTCGAGGATAAAAGCATTTCTTAACACAGTGTAGACCAAATTACTTAATTTATACGATAGATACTGACGTCATTTCTGAATCCATCCATTCTCAATCATTATTCAATATGCGCCAGTAACGAATCTTGTGGTAGCATACCAGTATTTCTGAACACTTCCAGGAGAAATTTCCGGATATTTGACATACGAATCGACCCTGTCCAATGAGAAATGGACTGAAATATATAGACTCTTAGGGATGAAAGTGGTAGAGAGTGTTGACTACTTCATTTATCTGAGTAGCTGTATTAATCCTAATGAATTGATTTAACTGACAAAATTTCAGCAAGGATACAAAAAGCTTGTTTGGCATTTGCCAGCCTACATCATCTATGGCGTTGGGATGATATCCACGCATCCATTACAGCACGTGTATACTGCTCAGAAGTTCGCTATGTCCTTCTTTATGGCTGTGAAACGTGGTCATTGAAAGCCGAAGATATAAAAAGGCTAGATGCCTTTGAATATAGATGTTGCCATTTTATTTTCCGTATTGTAGTATAATATTTTTTATTTTTGATTACAGCTTGATTCCACACTGTATTTTTGGTGCAAGTATGGAGTTTTCAGCGTGGATATCGGTAGCCCAAATTTCGCAGGCCGACTGTAGATATCAGGTGTGCGTCGGCGTGGAATCGAACCCCGGACCATGTGCATGGTCGGCAAGAGTCCTAACCACTGTGCCACCGATGCAATGGTAAGCAATATAGAGGTTGAGCGTGGAGTGTTAGGTAAGAAGGGTAAGTCAGTCGATAAGGTTGTGAAGCTACATTGAATGAGATGACTAGGACATATGTTGAGCATGCCAAGCCACCGCCTGCTTTGATGAGCAATGTTAGCTGGCATATGATTAGGTTGGAGAAGAGCTAGGAGTAGTCAAACCAAAACCTGACATCTGTTTGTCTGTTTTCAACATAGAACTTTGCACAAATGTGCGGAAGTTCAAGTCGCCACATTCCCTTCTTGTAGCACACAAAGCAACAGAAGAAAGTACAAGAAATGCATAATGGAGACAGTAAGCAGAGGTGTGAGACAAATGAATAGTAATAACGAAGAAGAAAACAGTTTCATTGGAGATCATAAGTCACAAGGAGTGGATGCATCTGCGTTAGCCATTGAGAACGATTTTGAGCCATGTCACCAATTGTTTCCAACCATAGATTTCTACCGTCCCGAGGACCCCAACCAGGAAGTCTACACCTTCCCACGTGGCTTAGACCAACTGTTGTAGATTTCATTGACTGGTGGCAAGTTTTTGTTTGACCTCCAATAGCTTTTTTCCAGCCTGACCCTATATTCGACATCAATCCACCAAGACTGTTGCGTTGGAGTACTAGAGACTCAACGAACCAACGGTTGGAGACTGTTGGTGATTTGGATCAAAATAGTTCTCAGTGGAGCAGATGCATTCACTTTTTGTGACCTCTGATATCTACTAAACAGTCTTGTTTTTTCATGTTGCTATTCTTTCGCCCGCAATCTTCTGCTTATTATAGTTTCTTTGGATTTCTTTTATCTTCTTTTGTGCGGTACATGAAGTGTGGCAATTTGAACTACTCCACTTCTGTTCAAAGTTCCATATTTACAGGTAGTCAGTCAGCTAATTATACAACAAATGACATTGATTTCGGGATCAGATGATAGTTGTTCTACAATGTTTAGTACGTAACACGGTCATAGATATGTCGATGCATCTCTGTTATCTCAATGACTAACCGAAATCAGTCTGCTTACCGTCATACACACGGTACACACGAACAAAAATGCTGCCCAGTAGGTAGTAAAACAACAGATGAGGAGTATTTTATAGATATTTATATTTCAACACCTGCAAATCTCTCCCATCTTTCAGTCCTTAATAAACATTTTTCAGTCACGAAGCACGACTGATTGGAATTCTGTGCTAGACATTTAGGTTTGGAGTCAGTTGTTTAAAAAGTCGTCATTTAACTGCCAAAATGATAGACTTGTCAGTGAACAACACTAAGTATGTGAGGGCGAAATACACCGCCTATTTTCCTAAACGTCATGGAGATGAGGCTCATTGGCTTCCCCAACCAACCAGTGATTCGCAGGTCCGAACTTTGCTGCATCTACCGAGGTTCGAACAACCAATCAGCATCACTAGTTCTTACACAATGCATGTGGCGCCACCTGCGTGTAATTACAAGTAGCTGTCGAGTAACATTTCATTTTTCTCAAATCTCAGTATCCAAAATCTATACGAGAAAGATCACTTAGATAACGAATAATGAGGAATTCTGAAATCAAGAATACAAGGAGTGAATACACCCACGGCATTACCAAAGACTAAGTCACAATACAAAAAGTGTCAAACCACTGGTTACAAACATCCTAATGACCACAACCGAGTAGTTTACGCCGCCCCCATGCGGCTGAATCCACCAATCAGGCTTCATGGATTCTAGCCATATATTGTACTGATCACCCGTAATTCTTCTACAATATATGATTTGATATGATTGAATTACGTAATTGGAGAAAGATGTAACTGGTTTTGACTCCCTAACAGAATAACGTTAATTGATAACCTTACTGATGACGCTACGAGCACAATGTATTGCTGCACATAATCATATCACACCATGTTTACATAGTCCCATTATTTCTTATACTCTTTGATTTTATTGGCAGCAGTATTTTTATATCTTTGGTATCGGTATTGTGTCATTCCTACTGCACACGTTAAGTGTAGACTTGATGAACAAATTATTCAGTAATCAACCTCCCCCTCCACCTCATTAGACGGTATTTATGAACCTGTTAATCACTGACCAAAGCACAAGTGCTTACCCAACACCTAATCCACCCCCGACGAGCAACATCACCTACTAAAACGCCGAAATCTCCACGGAAAAAAAAAGCAAAAGATCAAGTTGCGCGCAGTTTATGCTGCTTCACAATTCCAATCCCAGTCCCTCCCGAGAATATCACTGTTGACAGATATGTGCGAAAGAACATTTGATAAAATCCTTAGAACAATATAAGCTGAAATGTGACAATACATCTCAGACATTTGTCGCACTTGATCATATGCCCTAAAGCCATTAAAGACAACTTCTTAACAGCATCATTCATTTCACTTGTATGGTTGTCCTGTCCAGTATCAACGTTTTTTTTTATTATTTCCTTCATGTTCCCAGTGGAACATAGGGCTTCAAGCTAGAGGCTTGAAGTTTCTGTAGCAGTGTTTATTTTTAAAGGATGGAGTTGCTAGCCTCATGCCCAACCTTCCCTCTTTACCAATCTTGTTACTGGGTAAGTCAGGTAAAGGAGTGCATCGGTGGCCGTGGATCGAACCCCGGACCATGTGCATGGTCGGCGAGAATGCTAACCGCTGTGCCACCGACGTACCCAGTATCAACGTAATATATAGTTCTTTCTCTCACACATTTATTACAATAAGTGAACCCTAGAGAGCAACTTCATAAACACCTTATACTAATCTGTCTGTCTGTCTGTTTTCGACGTAGAACTTTGCACCGATGTGCGACAGTTCAAGTCTTAATTACTTTAGATAAAGCAGTTTCTTAGTGATCTTGTCAATCAACATACTGTTTTCCAATAGTATACACAAACTCACTATACTTATTTCATTGTGAGTAACCGATTACCCCTCTCAACTATTACACAAAATATGCAGACAACAATTGTGAAACTCGACGTAAATGTTGACACATATTAAAACTGACTTACCCAATTTTAGACGCCCATACATGAAATATACCTGTAGGCGGTAGTAAACGCCAATAATCTCCGAAATATGGTGTAGAGTTGACTACATGATTTAATCCTTCCACATTTATGGAAGCTCCACCGACAGGCAAATTTGTCGAACCATCTAACACAAAGCCGTGTAAAGCTCGATGAACCTAAATTTATATATCAAAATTAAGAAGGTTAGGAGGTTTACTAAAATTACTTAAAAAATCTTTATATTTTGCCTTTTCCAGAATTCTTACGTAAAAGGAAATCAAGTGCTTTTTTTCTTTTGCTTACAATAAGATAGTTGTGTCTGATAAACAGAATTAAGTTACTGCTTTTTTATTACATCCCGTAAGTTTTATTTAGACGCAAGGTTGTGAAAATGAATCAACTGATCTGAGTATGATGTGTGTTGTGCACGTCTTACCACCTCACTCCAAAGACGAACAATGTTAGCTGATAGGGTTCGGTTAGAAAAAAGTTAGGGATGACAAAACTAAAAATTTGGCATCGACGCATAAAGGTTTGAGCCAGTCACGTAAGGAAGTGTATACTGCTTGAGTGCAGGCCTCGTGATGTTAAGAACTATTGGTGATATGGAACGGAATCGTTCTGTTGATGGCACAGAATCATCTACTCATTGTAATCTTCGAGATCCATAAAGTCATCAAGTTTTCCCATGTTACTATTATTTCTACTGTGCGTTTTTGAGCAATATAGTTCGTCTGAACCTCCTTTTGATTTCTTTTTTCTACCTCAGTATGCCACAATATTGAGTGTGCCAGCAGGAAAGGCTAAACTTCCATCCAAATTTCTATGTTAAAACTCATTCAGTCAAATGATACCGAAATAATACCAAATAATTCTAATGACACTTATTCAGTTGGTCAGTAATTCTAAGTTAATTCTCATTGAAAACGAAGCAACCACTGCACAATTTTATTCTGATTTTGATTATTATTATTATTATTATATCCTTTGATTCCAAGAGGAACATACGGCTTCAGCCACGCGTCTCCATTGCCTTCGGTTTTCTGCCAACTTTTTCACTCCGCTCCAAGTCTGCCCACATGCCTTCATCTCCTCTTCACATGACCTCCTCCAAGTCACCCTTGTACTGACGACCAACTCGCCACTTCCCTTTCGGCTTCCACTCGAGCGATGGCTTGTCTAGTGATGTCACTTGATGGTTTGTTTCCTCAGAGTATGGCCAGCCAATCCATCTCCATTTCTTCCTGCCTATTTGTTTCACAATCGGTTCCTGTTGTGTTGGTTCGCTCATTGCGAGAGATCCCTGTTGCTGATCTTTTCTGGCCGGCCGGCCGGCCATCTGATCTTGAGTATTGAGCGAAGACAACTGTTAATGAAGGTGTAAAGTTTGTTTGAGATGCTCTTTATGATGTCTGTCTGTCTGTCTGTTTTCGACATAGAACTTTGCACAAATGTGCGGAAGTTCAAGTCGCCACATTCCGTGTAGCACGCGAAGCAACAGAAGAAAGTACAAGAAAAGCATAATAGAAACAGTGAGCAGAGGTGTGAGACAAAGGAGTAATAAAGAAATACAAAACAGTTTCATTGAAGATCATAAGTCACAGGGAGTGGATGCATCTGCGCCACTGTGAACGGTTTTGAGCCATGTCACCAATTGTTTCCAACCATAGATTTTCACCGTCCCGAGGACCCCAGCCTGGAAGTCTACACCTTTCTACGTGGCTTAGACCAACTGTTGTGGATTTCATTGACTGATGCCAAGTTTTGTTTGACCGCCGCTAGCTTTTTTCCAGCCTGATCCTATATCCGCTAACATAGCTCGTCGAGGGAGGCGATGGCTTGGCATACGTAACACATGTCCTAACCATCTCAGTCTTTGTAGCTTCACGACTTCGTCGATTGATTTCCCCTGTTTACCTAGAACTCTACGCCTAACCTCCATGTTGCTCACCTTGACGTGCAGTGCAAGTCGCTGATCCGTATAGTAGCAGTGACTGACTTCACATTGGAGTTGAAAATCCGGATGTTATTTTTGATGGTGAGTGCTGTTGACCTCCACACAGACTTAAGAGTAATGAAAGCTTGTCTTGCTCTACCGATTCTTGTTTTGATATCCTCGTCAGCTCCATCCGCCTGTAGTTGAAACGATGCTTCCCAGGTCGGTGGGTGAAGGAGGTTGTTTCCTTCAGGTTCCTCCCATTTATGCTGGCTGATTGTTGTCTGTTGTTGTTGTTGCTGTTGGTGTTGGCCAGGAATCTTCATCACCTCTGTTTTATCTATGTTCACTTGAAGTTCTTGCTATCTTTGATGCTTCTTCTGCCAGCTTGTTTCTTTTGACTTGCATATCTTCCAGTTTGTGGGAAATCATCCTTCATAATTCACACAATATCAGTTCAGAATCAGTCCAGAGTTATCAGGTCTCTTAGAAGATAATAAGTTATTTGAAAAACGTTATTTAGAAAAAGGTGGGGTTAGTATTGAAAAAAAAATGTGATATGATGTATCTGTGCAATATACATTTTGAACAATCTGACCACTCGCACATATACATCTACTGGTCAAATCAATTTACAACATGAAAATGTTTTAAAAGAATGAAAGATCGAATTCGACATAGGTTCACCCACCCTCTCACGTGAACAATACACACCTAAATGGCTTGAAAAACAATTCCACCCCATCATATCGATAAACACATGCACTAGGCTACTAGCTTTTTCTGTAGCAAAGTATATTAAAGATACGAAACATAAGATTGGTGTGCAAACAGCTTTCATGATCACGTACAAAAACAGACAGCCCCACTTCTATTGTGCATTCACAAAAATCTACCTTTGTATTCTTTATCTAATAATAATAATTATGATAATAATATGATAGAGAAGATTTGTAGCTCAGGTGGATGATTTTGATATGGTTGTGTTCTCTCAGCTGGATAGTTGATTTGCGAAGCTTTCATCACTCTACTAGGTGACATCTTCAGCGCATACTTCAATTTGAAGTGGGCTTTTAGATTTCTCCGCGAGTTAGTTAATCATCTCTCCTGGTGGCCACCTTGGACGTGATTGGTTGTTTTTGTGTGTTTTCACACGTTCTAGGTTACTTGTATTGGAAGTGATAGTTTCTTTGACTTGTACTTTGACCCCTTGTGTGTGAGGTTTCTTTCCTATCGGTTGATAAGTTTTGTCCATCTCGATGTGTCTATTGATTGATGATTCACTGGAATATTTGAACTCTGGTTATCCCAGTCGAATCGATGTCCGTGGTTGTCTGTGTGTAGTGATATGAGGGAGTGGATTTCATGTCTTTTGACGGCTAGTTTATGATCGTGGATACAAAGACGAAGGGGACGTCCACTTTGGCCAATGTAGTGTTTTCGCAGTTGTTACAATTTATTTTGTAGATGATGTTGGTTTTATCTTCTTTCGCTGTCGAGTCTTTTGGTTGACATGGAAGTGAGTGAAGTGACTTTCTTGGTTTGTGTACGACGTCAATTCCTAGAGGTGTGAAGAGTCTTGTAGTGATTTCTGAAATATCCATTATATATGGTTAGGCGATTTTCTTTGTGCTTTCCTTGAGGGCTTTTGGTTTGATAGGTTGGCTTGGAGGTATATGTCTTGCGTTGTGTTGTCTCTTATGACTGGCTGTCTGACTTTGTTTTAACAGAGAACTTAGGAAAAAAATTGTAGCAATTCAAGTTACCACAACACTTCATATAGCAGACGAAAGTAAAGGAAAAGTAAAAAAAATTAGAAATGGGAAGAAATATACGCAGGAGGAAGCATAGTGACATGGAGAAACATGAGGACTTCATCGATATAGGAGATTACAAAGAGTGAATACACCTGAGCCATTGACATTGATTTTGATCCATATCATAACCAATAGTTTCCAGCCAATGTTCCTCAGCGTCTCAAGGCCCTCATCAAACAAGGGGTAGTTTACACCTCCTTAGGTGACCGACTCAAACCAACCGTTAGAAACTTCACAGATTGAGCAAATTTGTAATTTGCAAGTTAATTTGCAATATATACAGTTCGAGGTGAGATTTTTATCATTGGGGAATCTAGATTATTCAAATCACCACATGTGATTTGCTTGACACCATAAATGGTGATCAGTAAAGCAAGCATATATGCGTAAAACTACATACTATCAGTGTTATTACTTGCTAGCTAACCACATCGAAGTGGTATAAACACGGGATAGGAACTTTGCTCGTTTAAGACCGAGCTCGTCATCCGCATACGCGGTTTGACTCAACTCAGGGTGGTATACAACTTCCCATATGAATTGATCAGTAGTATATAATTCTATGCATTCATGGGTTGTTGCCCCGTTTGATGTGACTACCCTTATCTCCTATCCAACCTAATCCCTTGTTAGCTAAGACTGCTCAAAGAGAAAGGTGGTGCCTTGGCGTGCGTAACACGTGTCCTAGTCAAAACAATCGATGTAGCCTAACGATCTCAACGAAGAATCTGCTTCATATGACCAATTCACTGTGCATACACCAGTTCACCTGCTCGTGTGGAGCTAGGTACATAAGTCATTGTATGCACATCCTTTCAAAACATGTTAGAGAACATCACTCAGCATGGCTGTAAAGAGGAGGCAACGGTTAAATCAACAGTGCCGTAATCGAACATCTGATAAACACCTTCCACAGCATCTCAACCGATTCATTCAAAGTCAATTAAAAAGTAAACAAGAACCTATCCGACTTCTTTCTACTGCAGAAGCCCTCGCTATATGCCATATGCTGTGTTCGGAAGAAATTAGTACAAACTTTACAATAACCATGGACCGAGTTCGATATGTTCATTTAGCCTTCGATTTTTTGGTTTTGTTCTATGTGCATATTTTTCTGTCTTTATCATCATTCAACTCATAACATGCTTTTTTCAGTTATAAGAAGAGTTATTTTAAATTTATTTCCATGCTCTTCCTGTTCATACTTGTAATTCGTTTAAAATAACAAATTTACAATTGTATTCTAATCCTGTGTAATTTTTGTTTCAAAGCCTCTCGTAATCTATATTTTTAAACCTCCTAATTAACATTTCAAGTTGGAAATTATTATTATTCTAATTTGTTTCTATGTTCATTTTGTTCACACCCATAATTCGTTCTAATCCTGTGTAATTTTAGTTTCTCAGCCTCTCCGTAATCCATATCAAGTTGCAAATAATTGTCACCTTTCATTTCGCCTTCGTAATTATGTGGAATTAAATAATAACTGTATGTTATTTAAATGCGATTGTACAGCCTATGAAAATGAAATCACCGAAGAAAAACAAATCTTTACTGAACTTCATGTTTTCTCCTTTCTAATGTCCCAAATGGGTATTTTCCACGATCTCAACAGGACATACTTTTACAAAACTACTACAGCTTTAAAGGGAGTAAAACAGAAAAAAAGGGAAAACAGAAAAGGAATCCAATTAGTTCACTTATGTTTATGTATACCCTGTTACTACTCCAGATGAATATTTATTTTGACTACTGTTACAATCTCGTCTTTTTTACAAATAATCAAAGTTATATGAAGAAATCATTACTCATTTAGCATATTGATTTTTATCGTATTATTATTTATTATTATATCCTTTAATTCCAAGAGGAACATACGGCTTCAGCCACGCGTCTCCATTGCCTTCGGTTTTCTGCCAACTTTTTCACCCTGCTCCAAATCTGCCCACATGACTTCATCTCCTCTTCACATAACCTTCTCCAAGTCACCCTTATACTGACGACCAACTCCCCGCTTCCCTTTCGGGTTCCACTAATTATTTACAATTACACATCTTTCAAGCCCAATAAAAATAGAGGTCAACAGTAACATTCAGAAAACCAATTATGTACACATGTATGTGTTAAACAAACATTTTGGGGTGCAGTCTCGCCATCCTCTCCGACTATCGGAACACTAGTAGGTGAGGAATACTTGAGACCTGTATGAACTAAACAAATCGACTATATTAACTCGAAACAGATTTTTCATACGTCAGCCAGGCCATGGGTCAGGATTACCGCATTAGTGCTAATGATGTCACCTTCATCCAAGCTGAAATAGGAGGGACGGTATTCGAACTCAGAGCGAGCAGTGGTGAATAAATCACCGAATAGTTTTTCACTGAAATTGTCTTTTAGTCTGTGAATATGCAAACATTTTAAAACAACTAACCAACATGAAGATAGGTAGATAGGGTCATCGGCTTAATAGCTCGGTTTGTAGCCAACAAGTCAAGGCTTCCCATCCCGATGCATCTATTTTAGCCTAGGCAACTGGCTATCATCACCAGACCTCACACGATAAGTGTGACTCTTAGACTGTCACCACTGAGTCCAAACAACCAACAACAGAAAGCTTAAGCAACCATAAAACATATCCTAAAAAGTCAATGCATATCCCACTTTTGATGATTATTTACTGTACACCTACTAATAATCTATCTCCAACCAGCGATATAAGAAATACGACAAATTAGACATATTAATGGCAAAAACTTTTGCAATGAATAACTAGGAAACACCTTGCCTAGCACAGTTTATATATATATATATATATAATGCATTATTTAAAGTCCGTGAAAGCGATATGGTTCAGAGAGTTGACGCGTCACGTACAGCATTTTCAACAGGCTGCAGACTTTCATCAACACCCACCCTTTTCACTCCATACTGAGAACAAGATGGTCGGCCAAGAAGAATTAGCAGCAAGGAATTCAGACATGTAGCGAACCAACCAATAACGTATCACCCAATAAATAAAAAGGAGACGGAGATGGGTCAGACACACCCAAAGACCACTGAGTGCCATCATACGCCAGAAAAGCTCTTAAATGGAATCCGAGTGGGATAAGACGAGTTAGCCATCTGAGGATGCCATGAGGAAGATCGTGTGAGGAGATGAATGTTTACGGGCAATCGGAAAGCCCAGAATGAAATGGAGATGTGCTGGTTAGTTTGTAGTTTCACTCAGAATCCAAGGGAATAATAATAATCATATGGCGAAACGTCATATTATAATATAACTAACCTCAGATAAAAATGAAACCAGAGAATATTTGTTATCATTCCAATAAGTGGAGATTTCTGATGCCCACGGATATTTTGTACAACCCAATTCTAAGGTAATCTCCATACATCCAGTAAACAGATAATTCCAGTCTTGCATACCACCTTGTAATGGATACCAGTTGTTGCCATTTGTAATTCCGTTAGGAAAAGTGATCCCTTCACATTTAGGTCGACCTAAATACATGCTTTTATGAGCCTGAAATATGCAGACAATACAGTAAATGTTTTTTTGTCACAACGCGTACACTAATAAATAAATTAAAATTATCATCATAATGTAGACAAAACAATAATCTTGATATATTAATTGATAATCTTAAATTTTCAGTGATACTCCCCAGGGACTGATTATGCCTCTACAAACGCGACCTGATATGGCCGAGGGCTTCAGTCTTCTTCTCGAAATGCTCCCATGTGGCGACACATTCATTACCTCAACCAGATAAGTTCTATTCACTGCCTTCATACAGTCAGGGCATTCCTCACAAGTGAGAGGGCGCTGCTTCACTCCCCTGTGGATTAGATTACATTAAGGACTCAGCGGGTGGTCCCTTAAAACAACCACCTGCTTCGGTTTAGAAGTCCAGACAGTATCCCGCCACTCACATAAACTATGAGATTTTTCGTGACACATCACTTGGTGTCCCAACGTACCAAGTTCGTGTTTTAATAATAACGATTATAACAATAGTTATAATGACTGACTACAAGACGAGGTTTCCCGGTGTTCTAGTGAGAAGTCTCGACCACTGAGGTCCACGAATTCTGATGTGAGGGCAAATACTCCCCAGCAACATCGGCTGGAGGTGGCGCTAAAAAGTGAAAATTGACATAAGTTAAAATTCATGGGCCACGGCGTCCCAGGTCAACGAGCTCTCCTTAAAACCTATGCCAAATGCCTAGACCAATGAACCGCAGCTTCACCAGGTCACCAACTTTACAATCACTAGATATGCAAGTAGAAACTAATGTGGATTTTTTCTGTCTTCTAACTTTTTAGAAGGAACCTACAAATTGTTTGATCATCTTGTGATCATTTGTTTCGCTTTCTTAGTACCTAAATATTAATACACTACTCAGTGAGGTGCACTTTACTAATGCATATGCTTTATCAAATCTGAATCAAAACATGGTGTAGAAACATAACAGATAACTGAACTTCCAGTAATCACAAATTGATGTATGTAAAACTTAAATTACTGATAATGCAATTCACTTGAATAATGAATACATATATTCTATTTCTAATGAAATGTGTCTTGAAATTTTAATGGAAAAATGAAAACAGTTCAGCTATAGACTAAGATTAGCTAGCATAATTTTAATATTTAAACATTTTAGACTAATTACTTTTAAAAGTTCAGTTGAAAGTCTTAGTTCAAAGCTGAAAAATCAAATTATTAAGCAGTTTTGACATATCGTTCTATAGGCTCATTGAGCAGTTATTGTTTACACAGAGAAAAAAAGGAGCGACCCTTTCACCTAAAACTATGCGTGCATATAGTTATCATGCAAATTACGGGACTCCCTACGAGCTACTATGGAAAGAATTACTAATTTGAATGAGTAACCTATAAAGAAGCAGGCAGTAAGCCTGGTAAAGATGAAAGGTTAAACATAAGGCTAGCGTCCCCCACCCGCATCACCACCTCGTAAAAATAACACCACTGTTACTAAAACTTCAAAAATAAAGCTCGAAGCCCTATGTTCCATCCGGTGTAAAAGGAATGAAAAACCACAAGTAAAACTATTCAAGAAACATAACTTACACGACTATAAACCGTAGCTAAGTGTTTAAACGTTTCATCATCCGGTGAAGCCGAATAATATGCAGTCATATTTGCGCTTCCATCAAACGGATACGATGCGACAAGTGAACCAGCGTGTAAATTACCTGATAATATAAATGCATGTGACTTTGACCACTTCATGATTAGTTTAGTTTCCGGTTCCTAAATTTTTAAAGAAAAATAATACATTGCATTTTGTATGTATTATATGCATACCTGTACCATATTTTCATAAGTTCTTCCAAACTGATCAGGAAAATTACGATTTAAATCCACATTGTGAAGATTTTTGCGTCCAACAATACCATTTTCGTCACCTAAACACATTTCAAAAGGTATACAGGAAGGCATCAGTATCTACTAGACGTTCACAGAATTTATTAAAATATATAAGCAATAATACAGTAGAATAATAAACGAAGATTATTGGGCACAACACATAGTAATACAGTATTATTTATTTTAGAAATAATCATATCATGGTACTATTCACATAATTTCATTTTGTTGGTTCTAATGGCGATGCTATTTCCCAAACGTCTTGGTATTTGCGCTGCGTTATTCCCACCGTACAAGTACGACGTCGACTGTATGAGACAGTACATAACCTCTCATACGCATGGTGAAGTTTCTTCTGCATTATTCATCCTAGCTGGGTCTGTCACTCTACATATGACTAGATTTGTATGCTCTGACAGCCTGACATTTTGCGATTGGTCTGTCTGATGTATCTGAAGCCAGAGCTACTGCATGTAGTCGGTAAATTATATTATTTATTTTGACTGAGTAAATAGAGCAATTAAGTCAGGAAAACCACCCCTATACTTACGTTAACACGTAAGGTTTACACGTAAACCTTGTTTCAAGCTTATTCATATTTCTTCTTTCTAACGGGAAAGTTGTGGAAGCTTTGGAATGCTTCTGTATGTTACACACACTGTCTGAAACTGTTTAATTGTCTAACAACGTAAATGTAACTACATTTATCTTTTCCTTTGACTAAAAACTATGGGATAAACACGACTCATCGACGTCACCATTTACAGTAGGACTTAGCGTTTTAATATTAAGACTTTCCAAAAGGCCTATAAATATTTACGCTACAACTCAGACTAGTGGTTCTTATTGGTTCATATACCTTATCCCAGTATTTGAGAACTGTTGACAACAGACAACTGAAATAATGATAAACAACTTGCACACTACTTATGTATTTTGTTCCTTTGTTTCTTGTACTGAGTCAAATTTTCGCCCAAATCACAATAGTGAAGTAATAGTCATTGATTAGGAACCAATTAATTAGTATGATGAGAATCAACCTAACGTCTTCCATAAACCGTCCTCCTTCATGCCAACTTTTATGTTAGAATGGCAGAGACTTTTGATTCATGCCATTAAAAACGACGGAAACCACTCGGGGGAAAAAGTAGATAAGTTTTGAAAAATATGACATCAGTCATAACTCTTGGTCTGTGAGAAGTGCAATGCATTTATTTTAATAAAGCATATAAACTCACTAATAGCTAGACACATAGCAAGATCTAGCTATATAATATTATGAATAGTAATACGAAATAATAAGAATGAAGAAAAGTCCACATTAACCAGGAAAACTGTCACGTACAAGCATAAGACAATGCACTCATATTATACCACACCAGAAACTACTCACCTTCGTTTGAAATTTCGAAACCATCTGGATTTGCCGACGGCATGAGGTGGATTTGTGTATAGTTCACTAGTAATGTGATAAACTCGTTTGAACCGTAGTTCAAACAAAGTAAGTATGCAAGTCGCATGATTAGTTCCCGTCCTATTGCTTCGTTGCCATGCATATTGCCAACCAACTTAACTTCTGGCACTCCAGGAACATGGTATTTTGAGATTCTACCGAATGATAACACCCATAGATCCCTACCACCGACGGATTTACCGACAGTATACAGAGAGGTAATAGTTGGACAACGCTTCCTCACGTCTTCTAATTTTTCAACGAGCATAGCATAATGAAGATATCTAAGAAATAATATGAACTTCCACTAATTACCTGTCTTCAAGGCCTCCTTCATTTAATTTCCAGTCAGAATGTCTGTTGTGTACAGAAAATGGCTTCACGAGATGTAAAAGCTTTTGAGAAATATTTGCGAAATCATGCGACTTTGTAAGAGTTGTGAATATCAAACTTAATACACTCGTAAATAACATCAACTCAACTTACACATTTGCGAAAACTAAAAAAATGCTACCAGCCGACATCGACCTTGAACGGATTTACCAGTCAAATTACCCAGACAAAACTGACATCAACTTAAGTAGAGTCTTCAAACCTGTATCAATAATGAGAGACGATATATCCAGGCTCAAGGTCACGGTGGGTTCCTGCGTCAACTAGTTATATGTGTCCGTGCATTCGTTTGTCATTGAAATTTAAAGTTTTCTTTGAGACATTTTGCTTATTTTAAAGTGATGAGGTCAATTGTCGTCACTGGACGCTACTATGAAGCTTATTTTTAGTCTGAAGTTCACAGTTATTAGGTTGATAGTTATGTAATATGATAAATCTGCAATCACTGAGTTGATTTGTGTATACTAGGTTAAGATAGCAAACTGTTCATAGCACAAAATGAAATTTAACTGCCATAATAATGTGATGACTTCTATTTCCTTTGAAAACCCACTCAAGTTCATCTACTCAAAATCTTATAAATGACAAATAAATAAATAAGAGTTTAGTGTATCCTAATTTAATAGCAAGAAAGAACGTGTTTCCCAAGGATATTTTCTTGAATTAGGGGAGCACATTTTAGAAAATGGAATTATATATCCAAAACAAGCAGCCGCGTGATTCTTTCTACATGCGACCGAGAAGACAAACGTTTGCATCATTTGTATCTCAATAATTCATGAGATGTTCAGCCTGAGGTACCATCGAAATACAACATCAGGTACGAACTTACTCTATTTTAAAAGGCTGATCAAAGTTAGGGCTTTCAGCCAACCATTCCGACCGTCGAAAAGCCATCGTTAGGTGTTTGTTTATTTTTGTATAATACCTAGTTAGTCAAGCACTTTTTTTGTATAAGTAACTAATCTGAAATGAACATGTCATTCTGATTGGTGAAACTGTTGCTACTACACTTTGTTTACAACACATCCTAGTCCGTTTTAAAAAGTTGCCGACTGACAGAACAATAACCTATGTCCACCCCAACCACCATCTCAGTCAAAGTCAACGTGTAAGATAAAAACTGTAAAGATCAGCGGGTTAAAACAAAAATTAATGACCGTATGTGCACGTGATAATTCTTCAGCCGACTATACTAATTAATATTGGTAATGTCAACCACGAAAACGGCATGCCAAGATAACACCGAACATGCGACACAAGTAGAAGAGAAGAAAAGACTATTGAGGGGAAGTAAGTTTGCTCTCTCGCATCAACCACGCAAAAAGTATGTAAAAGCCTGCGTGTATATGACCTCTAGAAACACGGGTTACATTGATTAAATATTCGATACTTAAATAGTCAACAGATATTTGGATTTTAAGTCGTATGTGAGGTGAGGGAAAAACAAACAACAAAATGGTGTGCGTTAGGATATTTTTCGCTGTATAACATTTTAAGGACTGCTTTTCCGAGAGAACATATACTGCATGTTAATGACGTTGATGGTCAAATTAGAACGCAAGAAATATTAAATTACACACGCCGACCAACGCCTCAGACCTAGTAGGGAAGGAATAACTCTGTAATAATCTTTAAGGAACCATAATAATAATGGTTTACTTTTCTTTAGACAATGCCTGAGTTTGAAGGAGACATTAAAGTTCTAGCGGAGGTGTGAGTGCAAGCCGAATTGACAGCAAACAACGAAGAAAACGAACTGGCTGGCAGTCGGGAGGCTTTTGGAAAAATGTGTGAGAACGAAGACCTCATCTTCTACTCCTCTGACCTTTTCGGTGACTTAAAATAATAATAATAATAGTATATTCTCATTTTGTACATGAGAGACGCCAGTTTACAGGCATCATCAATATGATAAATTACATATACGATTAGCAATCATAATTAATAATAATGTTTTAATAAAATACACATTTTTTCCTACTTGTGTAGGACACACCAAATATACAGGCATGGATAAGCATTATATAAATTTCATAAATTCGGTTTATGGTTTAGTTACATGGTTGCTGGAGTTTTTGTCTTAGGTCTGTGGGAACAATATGATAACCAGTCATTCAATGGAGCACGTCATGAAATATAGGAATATTAACTTCGCATTAACAAAAAAACCCAAGTATGTTTTGGATGGAATAAAAATACTTGGGAAAAAATAAAGCTTGAGGTTATTCCACAATATAACATTCATTCAATGGAGCACATCATGAAGTATAGGAATAAATAAATAAATAAATAAATTTATTCTCATGATACAGTACATGAGGGACGCCAGTTTACAGGCATCATCAAATTGTTACAGAAATAGGATCATATTATTCAGTCACAATTTACAGTCGATAGCAAAATATGTTTAACATGTACACTGGAGATAATACGTACACTTGATAAATGTTAATCCGAATAGTATAAAACATCCTTTTCACTTATGTACAATCATTTCTGTGCATAGTTGGAACAATCCGCTAGATTTTCAGTGAGTTCAACACACCAGGAAATACAGAAGTATTTTCTTCGCATTAACAAAAAAACCAGGTCTTTGGTGGATGGGTTATAAGTGCCTGGGAAAAAAATAAAGCTTGAAGTCAATTTTCGTACAATACTTTGTTGTGTGCAGAATCCTTGAATTATAGTTCATTGATGTGTTATTTTGAAATCAGGGATATGTTTATCTCATTTGATGTGCAATGTCATTGTTGGGAGTAAAATACATAAGCTTTAGACGCATTAATTAATGGATTTCTACTGCTTGTGGATATTTACTTCTAGTGAGGAAGGTTTTTGAATTTTAGTTGTTCCGACAGGAGTTGTGGATATTGACTGCTCAGCAACATTATGGATATAAGTTCATCACATTATCTCAGGAATGTTGGGTTGTAGTTGGTGATGCATATTTGACAACCTATGGCTGTGTGCATGCATAAACACAAGGCGACACCAGTTTAACCAGATGGATGTGGAAAATTGAAGAGACTGTATCTCAGTCCAAGCGGGTTGTGATGCGGCCTGCAGTGCACAAAGTCATGAAGAGGAGGCGATGTGGAAACCATCAAGTTACGCTGTGTCAACCACTCCAATCTCATTTCCGGTCAGCTAGAGCTAGAAATAGCATCCTTATTGTTGCATGACCATTAGCCTTGCTAAACCTGAGCTTTGGTCACACCACCTGCTAACTTCGCAAACTAGCCAAAATGGTATGGTGGCCAGGACACTCTTTAGGGGTGTATTTGATAACAGTGGTATAGGCAGGATACAGATTTACATGACCATGTTACAATGAAGCAGCCTTCATCAGTCCTCTTAAAATCCAGTTGTCCAAAATCTTATCCAGTCAGAGGGGACAAACAAACTGACTGTTAAAAGCAAGAGGACTGACTTCTATGATTCTCTATGAGCTCGGACCATCATTTAGTGGAAGGAACCCGCAAGGTCAACTTAATAACTTTCGAGGTAACTGAATGTAGATGCTGGTAGTCACCGAAAAGTTTATTTATTCGAACTGGTCTCCGTTGATGGAAAGAAAAAACGCTATGCTTGCCTAATCGTGTACCAGTTGGCAGAATGGAGAAATCCGATCATATATATCGTTGTACGTTATATTTACGTTTATTTGAGGACTTTGGCACTTATTAACCGTTGTAAAGCCACCTCGTTATCACTTAAAGAATAAACAATTTTGTTGACAATCGTTTTGTGTTGTTCTGCGCCGTTTACAGTGCACAGTATCCTGTATATTAGTCTTGATTTTCCAGAACCAATGACAGGCGCAGGATGCTTGCTATCTAGACATTTGACGCTGGACCGCAATTCTTGTTCAACACTCAGAAACTGAAGGGCGAACCTATAGAGGGCATCTTCATTGCAGGCATCAAAGAAAAGTCGGAGACACTATATAACACCACTGAGGAAACCTACGAGGATGAGCACTGTGACACTCAGAAGGTGATATTTAAGGGAACGTGTGCTGTCATTTTAGGGAGAGGAGGCTAGAGAACAAATGGCTGCCTGTAGATAAGTGTAAAAGAATAGAGTTGGCAAAACAGAAAATGAAGCGATCCAAAATAGACAACAGAAACTGAATGAAATCTATGACGAAGCGAATAAATGGGCGATGAAGATTGTGAAGAGCAAAAGGTACTTCCACGCCATGCCTGCAGCTGGAACAGAAATGAAGGACAGATTGAACAGCAGTGTATCATATAATCAGGTCGTTTTCGGGGATGAGATCAACACATTCAAAACCAAGTTAACTTCAAACAGTGGGGGGATTTGAGGATTGTGTACACGATATTCATTATTATAAAAGCTTTTGCGTTACCTTTTTCAGTGGACTGACTGGTGCGATGCCTTCTTTGTCCCTCATGCACAAGTCTTGGGCTTGTGAGATGGAGCCTAGGGTGTAGTATTTACCTTAGTGTACCGAAGCCATGGTGTTTGAAGTAACTTTTTGAGAGTCTCCTCAGCTTCGTGCGATCCTTTGGCCCTTTTAAATAGCTTTTTGTGTTGAAAAACCCCTAGTGTTTGGATTGGAATGGCAGCATGTTTGAGTTCTGCTGGAAGATGTCTAGGGGTCTTGAGAGGTTATCAGTGACGAAGCATTCCCCCATTCAGAGAATCTTGGAATTGATTCTACGAAAGCCCAGTCTATCTGACTGTTGTTCCTATGTTATTTATAACAGTGACAACACCAATTTGTTTCTGGAACAGAAACCAAAAGTTTTTACAGGCATGAATATGTACGCTAGTCAGAAATGGTAGAATATATAATATGATTTAGTAATTTACATATAGACTGAACACTCTTCTGTGTACGAGAAACACTGAAAAAATGTACAAATAAGTAGATGGATTATTTCTGAAATCTGCCTTCGCCTGAATAAGTTATAGGATATTGCGTCATATCCAAATTTTAAGTAACAAAATACCTACGCATGTCAACTTTACGCGGCAATTACAAGTGATTACGTTAACTATGGAAGGTAAGTAGCATTTTAGTGCAGGTGCTGAAGTGAAACTTAAGAGATGCAGACTGAACAATAATTATCAGTAAATAATTCACAAGGCGTTTGAAAGTCCATAAAACTTCAAAGTCACTGATAAGTTCACCATAATTGTGACCTTTCCAGTTGTATATGAGACTAACTTTGAATCTGCCAGCAGATTTCACAATGAAGGTTGTCCCATTATCCACCAGGTGTGCTAGCAATACTCTGAATAACTGCTAAGTG